TACCATCCTTCTCCCAAAAGGGCTGTAACACGTGGTTCCCACAGCCCAGCTCCTGCAGAAATTCCAGAGAGCCGAGCTACCAAGCAACTGTAATAGCCGTTCGTAGTCACCCTCAAACTCCTCCCATTGAAGCAGCTTCAAGCATCAAACATTGGATCTTAAAAGGTGGGAAAATGGGAAGTTCAACTATTAATATATCCAACTAGAGACATTAGAAAAAATTGTAGGCAATGTAGACAACATTGACTAACCCATGGTTCAATTATCCCAAAAATTGGATCAACATGGTTCAACATAGTGCGAGTCAAATTTCCCTGGAGGCAGGAGGAAAGAACTTGCACAACCCCCAGCCGCCTGTGCCTGCCACGCAAGTGGTTTTAAATTAACCATGGTCGGATTCTAGTAAATGTGGAGCTTAAGCATCAAAATCACGATTTGAGCATCAATAACTAGGATTTCACCCATCAAAAATAGCAGCAATGAAGGGGTTTAACAATCAAAACCAGGATCTGACCAGCAAAAGCCCTGATGAGCCAGCCTCCAATTCTGCTTTGAGATTAATTACTGTAATCCCCCTCACAGGGGGAGACTACATAGTTCTCTATCAGGAAAAACCTTGTCCTCAAAGACTACGCTTCAAACGTCTGTCTGGCCGGAAGTGATATGTTCTTACAAAAGTAGAACCACGGGGTTCCCCAACCACCAAAGCTATGATTTCCTTCCTCTCCATCTCTCTCTTGAGCTACCTCGTCTTTGCACCACAAGTATCCCTCGAGGTCCCCCTTCCTCTGCAGAAGCCATGGCCCACTTGGTTCGATGATACATCTCGACTTGAAAACCAGTGATTTCCCATGGCAAACGGTCAAAATACCAGAAGTTGGAGATTCTGGATACCCAAAAAATCAAACATAACAAAGATCGGAAGATATCCCCCAATTTTTGCATCATCCCATTCACATGCCATTTAGGTCGGATTTCCCAGCTTCCCATTCAGCTGTCCTTCCAGGCAATGGCAGTGAAGGATGCGGCATGGCTGTTGCCAGCCGCCTCAGGGATTGATATTGACGTCTTGCTTCGAAAGAGCTGTGTGGATGCTTCTCATCATGGGGACACATTCCCGCAAATCACCAATGAAATTCATTGAAATTCACTACAGTAAATCACCATTAAATTTAATCACCAGAAAACAACCCAATGCTTTCGAACTTGGGGTCCGCCCTTCTCAGTGGTTCACCAAATTTATTGGGGTTGTCTCAAATTTTGGAGTCCCAAAATCCCATGGTTCCACCAAAAATGCTGGCTGTATCCCACCTTTCAGACAAACCCATCGGAAATGACGTGTTTTTTTCTGTGGTTGGGGGTTACGGAGATTTCACAAATGAACAGGTTGAAACAATCTTAAGGTAGGTCGTGAACACATGGTAGAGAGTGGATATCTGTGGATATCGGATATCTTCTGGTTGAAACAATTTGCGATGACCATCATGAGGAATCCCAATCGGGGAACTATGTCAGTTGCAAGTCGAATCGTCAGCAGTTGATCGCAAGTTCCAAGATATTTCCGGGGAGGTTGGGGTTGGGGCTGTTTGGATTGGTGATTATGGGCCTTCTATACATATGTATATATATATATATACGTAATTATATATATATGTATGTGTGTATGTATGTAATGTATGTAATGTAATGTAATGCAATGCAATGCAATGCAATGCAATGTAATGTAATGTATGTATGTATGTATCACGTTTTGGTTGTAAATAGTTGGGCGAGAGAGCTTCCCATCGATTCCCTCCATACGTCGTAAAATTCCAATTGTTGGGAATTGGCCCCAATTTTTCATTGATGGGTTTAGGATTACATCCATTCAGAATCTCTACTTGCTTGGGAATACAGTCCCCCATTTTGGATAGTTGAAATCCAGATGCCTTGGTCAGTCCCAATTGACGGCTTAAAATCCCACTGTTCGTTGGCAATCTGTGTTGCTTGAAATGTCCATTCCAATATAAATCCCAAGTTGTTGCGAATTAAAATTCTATGATTATATGCCTAAATGTTTTGTTACAATCAACGTCCCCCCCCCCCAGTTTTCTTTGGTACTAGTATATATATATATATGCATGTGTATGTATATATATATATCACGCGTTCAATCCCATATTTTTGTTAGACTTACAGCTGTCGAAATTTCTTTGACACCTGGGGATGGTTTATTGTTGTGGATCCCATCATCCGAAATATGATCCAATGTGTATACTTTGATTGAATCATGATCATCAATCATCACCGATGATTCAACACAGTCTGTCTCCCAACGGCCCCTCCTTTTTGGTGGAAACAAATACCGGGTCCAACTTTCGCCCGTCGTGCCGCCTGCGGGGCGAAGCTGAGATACTTCCGCCGCAGCTGACGAATCTCCAGAAGCATTTGCCCCGCAGCCAGCTCCTGGACGGCAGTGACCGAATTGGCTGCCTGATCCTGCTATTCTTATTGTATAATTTTCTATTTTTGGTATGTACCCTCTGGTAATTTAACGTAGCTATTGAAAATGACCATAGAAATAGTGGATTTTCCCATTAAAAATGGTGGATCTTTCCATAGTTATGTTAGTTTACCAGAGGGTAGATGAATATAGTAAGCCCAACACAATGGAAAGGTCACCCGCCACTATCTTGCTATTCGCTGTTCTATCTTTGGGGAAGTTCTCTTTGGGACAGCATCGACAGCGTGGTTCCTGAATCGATTTGAAGCTTTGAAGCCGAAGCTCCCATGGTTTCCGCCACAATGTACTACTGTATCCTGAGTCTTGTCGTTAGTATCACTATCATGAATCATTATCATGTATTATATGGTACTGTTGCCATTTATGTTCCTTGCTGTAAGATGTTGTAAATGGTGTAAGTACTATTTTGACTATTGTCCTCATTTTGGCCATCACTATCATTGTCAATACAACGGTTGCTGTTACCGCTATTTCTTCTGCTCTTGTCGTCATTCTGGCTATAGAAAATTCAATAGTGATGGCAGAAAACCACATAGGTCATGGGTGAAACATGAAAAATCACCCATAACATGTGCAACATGTTGAGGGTTGCTAAACAAAAAATGCCATCATCTGCGCCTCAGAGCTGGGTTGTCTGCCGCCCGATTCGACCATCACCGCATCGCAACCCTTCAGCACGGAACAGATGCTGCTCCCAGCGCCTTATTCCGAAAACTGCTGGAGACCCAAGGGGTCTCAATTTATGGAGGAAACCCTCAATTCAGGGCCATTTTGATGAGGAAATACGGAGAAATGATGATATACTAATACAATCTAATATATTCTTATATTTTTAGTGGGTTTTGGAGGCTGCAAACTGTTTTGAAACAAACCCATACTATATCCTTGTGTCCATGTCGCAAAGCATGAAAACGAGAACCGCATTGGTCGCCAGTGTTGAGGGGATGATGTAGTTTCCTGCCGGTGGTTCCCGCCATCCCCCAATTACTGATACTTCACTGGTAGAAAATCAAGGTCCAAATCCATTTTGGAGGTTCCATCTTAGTTGCCGTTCCGAAAGGAACCAAACTATTTGTGAACAGTCGCCCCCATCTGTACAAATCTCACAGCCACCCAGCGCCGGCACTAAACGTCAAAGAATCTGGGGATATATGTGTAGACCAAGTATCCAAGTGTAGCCCTCTCTTTGTAGGACTTTGATCACACACATCAATGGATAATCATGTAAAGAATATAATTGGATTAATTGGATCATTGAGAATCTTATCTATCTGACCATCTCAGAGTAACCTGTATGGACCCACTATTTGTATGTATTTATATGCATGGATATGTATGTGTAAATGTATATGTATATGTAAGTGTAAATGTATATGTATATGTATATGTATGTAGTATATATGTATATGCATATGTACATGTATATGTAAATGTATATGTAAATGTATACGTAAATGTGTATGTAAATGTATATGTAAATGTATATGTAAATGTATATGTAAATGTATATGTAAATTCAATGTCAATGTATATGTAAAGGTATATGTATATGTTCATGTATGTGTATGTGTATGTAATGTATATGTATGTAGTGTATATCTCTATATGCATATGTTGATGTATATGTCTGCAACTGTATATGAATGTATATGTATGTATTTGTATGTATTTGTATGTATAGGTAAATGTAAATGTAAATGTAAATGTACATGCATATGTAAATGTATGTGTATGTATGTATATGCATGTGTATATATAGCCTCGTATATGTATGCCTTGTGCGTAGCATCAACTGCTTCTGCAAGTTCACATGAACGTTAACTTCCCCCCCTGCAAGTTCACATGAACGTTAACACCCCACCCCATCGCACCCCCCCACCCCACCCCGCGTGTGCGTAGCATCAACTGCTTCTGCAAGTTCACACATGAACGTCCCACCCCATCCCCTCCCCTCCCCACCCCGCGTGTGCGTAGCATCAACTGCTTCTGCAAGTTCACATGAACGTCAACATCCCACCCCATCCCCCCCCACCCCACCCCGCGTGTGCGTAGCATCAACTGCTTCTGCAAGTTCACATGAACGTTAACATCCCACCCCACCCCCCCACCACATCGTGTGCGTAGCATCAACTGCTTCTGCAAGTTCACATGAACGTTAACATCCCACCCCATCGTATGTGGTTCCAGGACCTGGGACGAGCCTATATATACACAATATATATATATATATATGTACATTAATATATGTATATGTAAATGTATATGTAAATGTATATGTAAATGTATATGTAAATGTATATGTAAATGTATATGTATCTGTATCTGTACATGTATATGTATGTGTATGTATGTGTATCTGTGTATGTATGCACGCACGCATGCTTGCATGTATGTATGTATGCATGTATGTTTGAGTATGTATGAGTATGTGTGAGTATGTATGAGCATGTAATGTAATGTAATGTAACGTAACGTAATGTAATGTAATGTATGTATATATGTTTGTATGTGTGTTTGTCTGTTTGTTTGTATGTATGTATCTATGTTTGTCGGTTTGTCGGTTTGTTTGTATGTTTGTATGTTTGTATGTTTGTATGTTTGTATGTGTATGTTTGTATGTTTGTATATGTTTGTATATGTTTGTATATGTTTGTGTATGTATGTATGTATGCATGTATGTATGTATGTTTGTATGTATGTATTTATGTATGTTTGTATGTATGTATGCATGCATGTATGTATGTATGTATGAGTATGTATGAGTATGTATGAGTATATATGTATGTATATGTATAACTATGTACGAATTCAAAACATTATGGATCATTATGAACCATTATGAACCATTATGTTTGATTCTTTATTATTGTGTATCATTATGTATGGTTATGTATGATTATGCATGACTATGTTTGATTATCTATGGTTAGTTATGTATGTATGGATGAATGTATGTATGTATCTTTGTATGATATGTACGATATGTACGCTATGTACGACATGTATGATATGCTTGGTATGCACGATAAGTATGATATGTACGACATTTGTGACTATGTATGATTACCTTTGATTATGTTTGTATGTATGTCTGTCTGTATGTATGTATATGTACATGTATGATTATGTATATGTATGTATTTTTCTGACTATGTATATCTATGTATATGTATGTATTTGTATGTATTTGTATGTATTTGTAAATGTATATGCATATGTCAATGTATATGCTTATGTACATGCACATGTATGTATGTATGGATGGATGGATGGATGTATGGATGGATGGATGGGATGTATGTATGCATGTATGCGTGTATGTAAATGAAAACATAAATATTTACATGCATTTACGTATGTACGTATGTAGGTATGTAGGTATGTGGGTATGTATGTATGTATGTATGTATGTATGTATGTATGTATGTATGTATGTATTTATGTATGTATGTATGTATGTACGTACGTATGTATCTATGTATGTATGTATGTATGTATGTATGTATCTATGTATGTATGTATGTATGTATGTATGTATGTATGTATGTATGTATGTATGTATGTATGTATGTATGTGGGTATGTATGTATGTAATGTAATGTAATGTAATGTAATGTAATGTAATGTATGTATGTATGTATTTCTGTCTGTCTGTCTGTCTGTCTGTATGCATGCATGCATGCATGCATGCTTGTATATATGGATGGCATGTATGTCATGTATGCCACATTTGCCATGCATGTCATGTATGTCATGTATGTCAAGTGTGTCATGCAAGTCCTGTATGTCATGTGCGTCATGTGTGTCATGTGCGTCATGTGCGTTACGTATGTCATGTGTGTGGTATGTGTCATGTATGTCATGTATGGCATGTATGTCGTGTATGTCATGTATGTCATGTATGTCATGTGTGTCATGTGCGCCATGTGTGTCATGTATGTCATGTATCTCGTGTATGTCATGTATATCATGTGTCTCATGTGTGTGTCATGTGCGCCATGTATATCGTGTATGTCATTTGTGTGGTGTGTGTCATGTATGTCATGTATGTCGTGTATGTCATGTATGCATGTATTTTTATGTATGCATGGATGCGCTCTATACCCACTATATACCTGGTAATGTTTACTTCATCCTGCAGTCAGCACACGTCGCTTGATGTTGGTCTCCCCGAAGCGTCTCTCCACATAGTTGGCCAAGAAAGGTCCCAGTTCCTGCCACGGTCAAAGCAGCAAACATATTGAACTACAGTACCCTCTGGTAATTTAAGATAACTGTGGAAAATGGGGCATTTATGGATGATTTACTTGTATTGACCGATTAAAAATAGTTGAATTTCCACTTTGGGGAATTCACTGATGTTGGGTCGATAAATCCCCGCTAATGGGGATGTTTCATTACCAATTAATCTCGGTTTTTGTCGACCACAGTTTGCACAGCATCACGCCAAAACGCGGAACCCACGGACCCACGGACCCCCGGCCAAGTGTTGCATTCAACGACACCCAATTTTGCTTGTCAAAAACGTTGAGCCATATTCAAGAAATGGCTAAAACTAGCCCACATGATCCAAAAACACCAAAACATGGAAGACGCCCCTGGCCTCTGGGCGATGGTAGCCCAACTCGTACCTTTTCATCCAAAATTGGAAGTTTTGACCCCCATGCTTCGAAGTTTGGTAAAATTTCACGTGGTGGACCTTCAATTTTTTTTGGGTGGCGATTATTTTTCTTAAAACACCGATGATTTGCAACACATTCTCACCAAGACCCTTTGCATTCTAGCCAGATGCACGGTGCTACCCAGATACAGGATGTCGCTCACCACGCTCTGGATATCATGTTTGGCAAAGTAGACATCCACATCTTCATCATCCATGGCGGCAGTTTTTGCTCACGAATGGGTTGCCTTTTTACGACGTGCGGATTTGGGGTGGCAAGTTGAGTTCTCATGGCGCGTAGATATGGTTTTCATGTCCAAGCAAGACCCTTGAGAATCAGTTTGAACCGGATGCCATCAACCACCCATGATTTATGGGTCACACCTAACGTTAAGCCCCTCTCATGTTTTTGCTTTGATTATGACCAAAAAAAAAAAGATGTTGAAACGGGGGGCAATTTTCCAAACCTCAAAGCTGCGGAGGTTCGATGTCCCAACCTGGTGGATGATCATCTCACCGGTCCCAGGGGCTACATACCTATGGCTACATATAAATCTGTAACGGAAAGTGCACCACTTAAGTGGCGGATGCATATTCATGTTACACGGATGCAGAAATCTATGTTAATATCATACAAAATCATACAAATACACCTCAAAATACATATATTAATATTATATATATATACATACACATAATATGTCTACATTCATACGCTGATTCCGCATACATAATATGTTTATAGTGATTATATTTTATAAATGTATATATATATACATATATATGCATCTATTTGTACGTGTATATGTTTATATATATATATATAAGAACACAATATAAGGACACAAACACATAGACTGGTGACATACCATTCGAAATGTAGATGTCAATATGCGTATATAAAGGTATGAAAACAACCAAGCGAGCAAGCAAGCCAATGCATTCCCCACGCGACGAACATTTGAAAGACCTGTTTTGTGCCCGTTCCCACTGTTTCCCACAGCAGGGTGTACAACATCTGTGCTACTTGCAGACCCTGGAGACGTGCAAGAAGCTATGGTACATCTGCGAGACAGGCGTCTCAGAATAAAGCAAATCATGGAAAGTTGTTGGAAGGTCCAGGGTTACCCGGACACGCCAACTCAAAACGGTCGACTTTCGAGTTTTTGCCGCACAATTCCTTTCGAACTTTTCTGTGGTGTAACTTTGGCTACGCGCATCCTGGGGAATTTGATCATCACATGCTCTATATATTTGAACTCAATCCCTCTCGACATCTCTCGACCGCTTCACCATCTCGACTCCGGGAATGATGGTCTTCCCAAAGTCATGGTGCTTGAGGTCACATAAAAATATGTTGATTTCACCATTTTATATGGTACCAGTCGTCGGATCAGGACCTTTTGGTCTCACATTTCTGTCCACAAAATCATGCCAGTCATTACCATCATCTTCTGAAAATCAGCGGGATACTGCCCCTGTTGCAACCTTTTCTACCATCAATTTCTAGATTTCGCAATGGCTCCAAATCACGACTGACGGCCGTGCAATTCGATGCATCAACTGCATCAATTGCTGATCCCCATGGCGCCTCCGCCAGAGATGTTAGGCTGGGGAATAGATTTACACATGAGCCAGAGATTCAAGCACTATCGCTATCTTTCATGCACCGTTGGGGAAAACGCAAACATATATCGACACGTATCTATTCTTTACAAAGATGTATGACATATACATGTGTATGCTTTCTGCTTTATACCTACGCGTATACATCAAGGAAGTCTGTACCCATATCTCGGAAAATGAGAAATTTACATCACACCCATGTTACATGAACTTGCGTCTTAGTATACGTATAATGGTATCTATAGGTTTCTAGATATTAAATATAACATGTTGTATACACAGGCCTTGGTGGTTTCCACCCATCCCCATCCCATCGCAAGAATCCATCCCATCCCCGAAAACGGCTGGCCTCAGCTGGCCGCGGCCGGCGCTTCCGCCTCCGCCGGCACCTCGGGCTCCGGCAGCGGCTTGGTGCGGTTCAGGAGCTCGGTGAAGCTGGTCATGGCCTCGGGAGGATGGTTGTTTTATCTATGTTACTAGCTATAACAATCTATGTTATAGAAATATAACACTATCAGATATTTTTAAAAAAAAAACTATGTTACTAGAATAGCTATAACTAACTATGTTGTAGAAATATACTATCTGGTTGAATTAGAAGAATTCGCAAGCCCGAAAATGCCTGAAGTGTTGGCATTAGGCCATTTGGGGATGATGCCCCTTACTAATAATCATTCCAGTGACGTCACGGTGAGGTCGGTATAGTATATTCATCCATATATATACAGTACATGTGATGATCCTTGTATAGAATACTCACCATAGCAATGTGTGTCACACACAGGTTGTTGAGGGTTCCTTATAATTATATATATATCTTTTATATACGTAACCAATACCATTATAGTCCAAAGATTAAGTTCGAAATTAAACTTTTGGCCAGCAAACAACCCCACAGATTAGATCTCGAATCAACCATGGGGATCTAATAATTCTAATATCACCATCAATGGGTAACATGTGGAAATCCCATCATCCCCCGTCAAAATGGTAGGTTTATGGCACTGGCTCTACCACTGGCTGGTTGTTTTGGATGATTTGTCCCGAAGAGAAAACATCCACGAAACATGGCGCCCAGTTTTGCTCAGGAACGCCGGTGGTGAAGTCCTCCAAGCTGTCCTCGCGGAGACAAGATCCAAAGCCACGGGACATGGAAAATGCTTGCAGGAGAAGCCATGCTCCAAGGGCATCCGGATATCCAACCAGGCGCTTTCGCTAAGTATCCTGAAATCATGGATTTTGTTCTGGGTGATCCGGATTTTGTGTGGTCCTCTCCATTTTGCGAAACCCTCATCCCAGCCCAACTCCGCAGACATCCGAAACTCTGTGGGTGATCCAACGCAGCACGTCCAAAATTGTCCCCAAAGTTTCCCACTTTTATCCCTAAAATCCTTCTCCAAACCCATACTCCAAACCATGGTTTTTAATATGTTCAACAAGGAGATCAGCATCAGCGGATCCCCCGTGGATCCCCATGGATCCCCCCCCGGTTGCTCCTTGGCATCCTTCAATGCCTTGCCAGTGGCCTTGATCTCAGGTCCGAAAGCCTCCAGAGTGGATCACTGAAGATGGATTTTTCACCACGTTCTATTCTAAAAAGACGCCTAAATTTCTAAAAATCTTACTGTATATAAATCAAATGGTGGCGTGTTTTTACATATATCTATATAATGTATCTTATCTACCTGTTTGTTGTGTGTGTGTGTAATCTGTTGTGAAATTAGATGGTGATATACAGTCATACTGTCCAAATAAACTCGGAACTGGTGAGTGACCATGCTGCAAGCGAATTGTACCAAACCACCCCCACAACTATGCAACACGCAGTCAACAGGCCCTCTTAAGCTACGCTCAACAACAAACCATCACCCAACATCAAGCAACCTACCTCCCCACCCAAGAAACCACCCAAGAAACCACCCAAGAAACCACCCAAAGTCCTCAGGAAAAATGAAAAAAAAAACTCGTTTACGGCTTAGAGTTGCATCATATATCATCATATCATCATTTTTTCTTTGGTAAATTCCAAGGCTTCACAGAGGTTTCCGTGCGCCTTCAGCGCCTTTGCTGCCGCCTTACTCTTGCCATCGGCCTCCTTCATGGCAGCTACGGCATCCTTGGAGGCCTGATGGCTATCTCTAGGCTGAAGCGGGTAATGAATCAAGAAATCTGGGGAAATCATGAAAAATCACGGGACATCCTGAAAAATCTGAATTTAATTTGGGATTGATATAGAAGGAATTAACTTCACCAAGTAAAAATGTGTATACATTCCGTCCCTCTGATATCTAATATGGGGAAGTCTTGAAAAAATGGACGGTATATATATATAATATAGTATACATCTACTAAAAATCTACCAATCTATGGGAATGGGACGGTGATGCCTTCGGCTCGATTGAGACGTATGCAGGTGGGACAAAGATTTCATGATCTTCTAAAGGTGTGCCAGAGGTGTGAAGGAATATCTGTAGCACCACCAAACGGCAACTCAGGCATGATCCAGTCGGGCCAAAAATCCTGGCATCCTGCAACCTCTACATGGCTGAAAGCTAATTTCATTGATTGAAAAGACAAAGATTACCAAAAACTTATAGGGAATTGCAATATGTCCAATGAAACTTACAGGAAGATGCTGAATTTTTGGGGTGGAAATGGACCCTCTCTGTACATGGGCAAATTGTCTTAACAAGAAATCATCCCTTTCGCCAGGGATCACCTGCCGGCTCACAGAAAATACCCTCAAATAATTGGATGAACATCACCAAAAAAAAAATGACCAATGAAAACTCTGGAATTGCTACTTGTGATTTAAAAAAAAAAGGCCCAACGACAGCGCCATCACTGCTGCGGTGCCTTCTCCATACTCTCCAACTTCACCTTCAGTGCTTCCACGGCTGCGGCACAGGTTGCCACCTGCGGCCGCGGCAACACCAGGATCAAAATTGTGGTGGCGCACAAGAATACACCATAATACACCAGTGCGGCTCCCATCGTTGCTAGTTTGGATTCCACATTATTGCGAAGCAAAAGAAATTACTTGCAATTGTGTCTTCATGTGTGCTGGTGTTGTCCCAATTCTTGCTTGTTACTGCTGGAAAAATCCCCACCCACCTTCTTTTTTGGGTTAAAATCATCATTCTTGCCTGCAATATGCAACAAGTTCCAAAAAGAAGAGTGCAATTCCAAGTTTTTATTGATCAAAATCTCAATTCTTCCTGACCTCTCAATGTTTTTTCCGCTCGAAATCCCCTTACTTTTGTTTTTTTTTGACACATCAACAGCAACAAGGCCCACCTTGCTGGCACGCTCCTCGCGCGCAGGTGCGGCTTCAGCCAGCGTCTCCTTGAGCTTGGCCAGCCTGCGGGGGGAGTCTTCAGCCCCGAAAAAGCCATGGTAGTTGAGCACCGGGTGTGTCTGAAAATGTTGTGTACCCCTAAACCCAATGGTTTTGCTGATCATTATCCCTATTAAATGGCTATTTCATTGGGAATATACCCTATTTTCAGACAAACCCATTTGGGAAAACAATCCTTGGGGCCCCTTTTGGGGGGCCTCTTCTGGAGGAAATCATGATGAGCACCACTGCTGAAAGGGAAATTTCATGATGGGCATCCTGATTGAAAAAGGCGATATAAATTCAGGGTCAATTTGCGATTTTCAGACACACCCAAATATCAATGTTGCTAGTTCCATATCCATATATCCCCATGAGTTTCCCATAATTTCCCAGAAAATGCTGGTTCATCACCATAAAGATGGGAGATTTCTTAGTTGCCCCACTTTCGCCCATCTCATCCCCCAAAGGGGGGGCCCTTTTTGGGGGGCCTCTTCTGGAGCTCGTCCTCCACATTGGTCACCACCACGTTGTCGAAGGTGCCACGCGACGCCGGGTCCTTCTGCAGGGCACTGGGCAGCGAGGTCAGCAGGGCCGTGTCGAAGTCCAACCTGAATCGACAGTGGTCTATGTATATTTTTAATTAATATGTATATATATATATATACATAGTATATTTTTTATATGTAGACACACACATAATACATGTATATGATATTTATATGTATATGTATGCATATATATATACATATGTAGCATTGCATATACATCTTATACTTATACTTATACATATACATATACATATACATATACATATACATATACATATGTGTATATATATATATGGGTGTGTATATATATATGTATATATATATATGGGTGTATAGATATATATATATATATTGTGAATTATATAAAGTGATGCGGTGGGTGGAAAGAATCCTGCACCACCATCAGATGATGCTACAAACCCTGGCGCTTCCTTGTTTAAGATTGAAAGGTGGAAGCCACCTGAAGAAAAAGAAGAGTGTACTGGGGCAGGATTTCCATCCACAGTATGAGATATATAAGAATATTATATATATATATCATGATTTGCGATATAGATAATTTAATAATGTACATACAGGTTTATCATTCACTTACGAACTCAGACGGGAAGTTGAACCCAACTTGGCCCAACTATATACAATGACGAGTGGTTTTGGGAGAGTGGACACCAAACATTGGCAAATTGAAGCAACAAAAAAAGGTGAGTTTGACCGGAAATGAAAGGGATTTACAGTAATGACAATGTTTGACCGACAAAGCTATGGAAGAATATGCAAGACTATGAAGAAACGTTGATGTATCGTGTGTTCCCAACTGAGTCTACCTCTGACAGTGTTGCTGTTTGAAGGCACTCATAGGCATAGTGTGAACAACTGGGACCCTGCCGGAAATAGAATCAAACATCCAATCGTTTCTGTCTTTGATATTACTTTATCAGAATTGGATACAATAAATCCTGCAGAACCCCACTCATGGTTTCCAATAACAAGAGTTTATTGAGGGTTCACGAATCATGTTAGTAAAGCAATGCCATAAACCATCATAAACCATCCATATGTTGATGGTGTATGCCATTTATGGATATTTATGGTATCTTTGGGGATGGTTTGCTATTGCTCTGCGAACATTAAGGGTTTGTCTTCACCATGCTAAGTCATCCCCATGGTTTCAGTCCCAGCAACTCCTTACCCAGCTTTTGGAGCTCAGAAATGCCCTGTGCGCGCCAGTCACCCGTTGTGGCCCAGTATTGGGGGAAAAAACCCTGCAACCTCTCCTCATATGGTTGAGATGAGTGGCAACCTAAAAGTTGGACTAAATGTTGATGCTCAGTGAAAACTCAACCTTTACTTGGGACCAATAATTGCTGCGATCTTCCAAGTCAAAGTCGCTGTGTCGTACCCGTTGAATGCGGGGACAGACCAAGGTGATTTGCGAAAAATGGCTGGTCAGGGGGAAGCCTTCCAATTTTGCAACACATTCGTTGGAGTTCATTGAAAGGGGCCTACTGAAAACCAAACATATTCCTGAAACATCATGTTCAGAAAATCTGAGAGTCAGCGGCAGACCCACCCAAAAACAACGATTTGATTACATCTTGGGTGACCAAAAACTGGAAGCTGGTCACTTGAAGCAACACCAGAAACTGGGGCAATCTAAGTTGTTGTTGTTGTAAGCGGACGTCAACCTGCTCCTCACCGAAGTGAAGTAGTTAAGACGCCATAGTATGCCATCTGCGAGAATCAAGTTCCCATACTTCTCCAAGCAAAACTCAAAGGAAGCGAAACCTGCCTGAAATAAAAAAGAAGTAAACACAGTGCGCCAGCTAGCATTCCGCATGGAATGTTTGTTGATCAAGTACGACTTGCCAAAGAGGTAAAGTCCGTAGCCTCTGCAGACGCCAAACTGCTGCAGCCCAAGCCACGGCTCGCTGATGTCGCTGCACAGCCGCAGCGATCATGGAGCGTGAGTCACGCAACACCTCACCTGCCTGAGCATCGGCTGTCGCATTGAGAACGCGGCAGAGATGAACATCAATCCAACCATCTGGTGGTGTCCAGTCAGGCACCTTGTTGTGAGAAGGGATCCAAGTGCAAACAGTGCCCTGAATCGATAAGCCGCTGATCCGCTGCCAGAAAAGCGGCAAGTCACCCTCCCAACGGCCAGTGCTAATGCCTCGCTGAAGCCGCCGCACCAAAGCCTGATTGTCAATCAAGAGCATCACCGGTCTGTTAGCTGCAGAAGAGGCTAAACAAGCTTGCAGAAGAGCAGCACGCTCACCTGCAGCAGGTGTTTGCTCAAAACCAGTCACGGCACCTTGAACAGTGGTGCCTGAAAGTGTCGAAACCGCCCAGCTAGCTCTTTGCCATCGATCACAGGAAGTAGCTATGATACAACTGCCGTCCAAACCCAAGGTGGGTCGCTGAAGAGGATCGAATTGCTGAATAAAAGTAACCAAAGCAGGATCTGCAACCATGTTGGAAAAGGCAACACAGGAGGAGCATCCACAAGTGGAACCAGCAAACGACGTTCAGTAGCGCTCCTGAACTCACCATCCCATGGCTGCGCTTGGCAGTGAAAAGTGAGATGTTCTCGATCAGGAGACCGCAATCCACATTCACAACTCAAAGCAGAACCAAAGCGCTCTGTGACCCTGCCATCCACTGCAGCACCAGTCAAAACCCTGCGACTGTAGTAATCCATGCCTAAAGCTGCATTTGCCTGAAAAAGGAAAACCGGCTCCTTGCCGTTTGGCCATCGACCATCCGTTTTGGTGTCTTTAGTCCACAAACCAACGAGCCATGAATGGATAGCGGCCTTTTGCAAGCTTTTCAAAGACATCCACCCAGGTTTCAAAATCCCAGCAGGCGTGTGCCACAGGCCATCGTCAAGTCGCCATTTCCAATCTTTAAGCACTGCTTTCCAGCGAGGAGCAGGCGAGGTAGCTGCAGGCAACCCTTGGGCACGGCGGCATTGCCGATTCCATTCCGCCCGGGCGGCGGTGAACTGGAGCGCAAACATCGGATGTAGTCTTGCAGAACCCAAAGAATTCCAAAAGAGCAGCCGGCTCCTACCTGGAGGAGCCCTTCGACCCCAAAGTGCAGTTTCGATCATAGATGTCCATGTTCGAATGGTTCTTGCACTGAAGTGATGAAAAGCACCGGACCAAGCAAATAAAGATATCACCAACTTATGCACCAATGCAATGTGAGTGCCTAAGTGCTGTGCTGCCAAACGAATTTTGAGACACCGTCGCTGAATGTTGTCACTGACAATATCCGCATCAACACAAGAACTGGGGCGTGACAAATTGTATTGAATGCCAAGCAGTGTGAAAGTATCCGCAGGTACACCTACTAAATCTTTCTTCTTGCGCACCTTGGCAACCAGATGCGGTTTGGTGGCGAAGCTAGCCAATTTGTCAGGGTGAAGTTCGAAGCCGAGAATAGCATCGGCTTGCGCTCCCGCAGTCATGGCGTTGATGACCACTTCAAAACTTTGACAACCTTGTTTCCACATGGTGTGATCGTCCAAAATAAATAGCCAAAGAAATCCTTGGTTCCTGCCGTTTGACAAACCTCACCCAAACTGTCATCAAAGCGTTCAGTAGCGCAGGGCTGGCTGGACAGCCTTGCAACAAACCCCGTTGAGCAATAACCGGATGAGGGTGATAAGAACCTTGCCAAGCAAACCAACGACGCTGTTCACTGTAAAAATCAGCGAGTAAATCACAAATTGATGAGGGAGCACCGAACCATCGCCACACTTTAATGGCTGTCTGAGGGCAAACTGAATCAAAACACTTGCGAACATCAGCTTTGCACCCGACCAAATCGACACGAGACTGCTTTGCCGCGCTGACAGCTTCGTAGAAACGTTCATGGACTTCCATGATGCCCTTGCCTGGTAGACCACCAAAAAGTTCGGGCGAAGCCCATTCCGCAATCCAAGGCTGTAATTTTTTCAGAGTGGCACTCATGCAAATACGCCACAGGACAGTGACAATGGCTAAAGGGCGCATGCCACCAGTAGCTTTTGGTAACAAAGCAATTCTAACATCTTTCCACATCGTAGGAACACAGCCATGTCGCAAGCAAGCATCCCAAAGAGCACCGACCTGATCCCAAAAAGCAATGGGAAGATTGCACAAATGGAGAGCTGTCCAGGCATCCATGCCCGGAGCCTTGTCCTTCGCTTTGAGCGCAATCCGAACCAATTCAGAACCACTAACCTGAATACAGTCATCCGGCAATGGATCGCTTGCAGAGCCAATCTGAGAGTACAACTGGTCCCCCAGATTCAAATTCGGAAGCGACCCTGGATTCCAATACCTCTCCCAATCCAATGCTGCGCACTTGGCCCTATCTGCAGGTAGAATGGGGCCATCAAAACTTGCAGTAGGACTGGCGGGCGGCACCTGTTTGACCCACCTGCCTAGTTTGGTGGCATTTTCCTGCACGCTGTCCTTCCACGCCTCCAAGCGTAACTTGGACGCTGCTGTAGCTTCTGCATTTGCCAATTCTAGCACTGCACTAACCAACCTGGGGTCATCCAAAGAGAAAAAAGCCAAAGAATGATGTAAATGAGGGCCATCACGAACCAACTTCTTCTCCAACTCTGGCAACGGGGCCTTTTGGTACTCCACCACTCTTCGTGCGAAGCGTCTGAGCTTGCGCTCTTTCACTGTTTGCAAAGAAGGCGCTTTTGAAGACGGAGGACTGGCAATTTGCTGCGGGCCCTGGCGCATAGCACGACCAGTTTTGCCACGTGCGAGAAGAAGAGATTCTGCGCAGTTGCTAAGTAAGGTCCAAGCAGAGTCCACGTTGCCTGTACTCAATGCATTTCCAAAATCGTCACATACTTCTTCCCAAGCACTTAGCCAAGAAGCTTCAGCAACCTTTTCAGAATGCAAAGGGGCACCAACTGGGAGAGTCCACGGTGTGGATAATGAACCAGGCACATGCAAGTTGTAAACCACCGCGTCATGGTCAGCCACGCCAAGATGTTGCTCCCTACCAGTAATAATTAACCGAGGAGTGCACAAGCCATAGTCAATGACCACACCTGTATAAACACCTGCAGCAGTTCGATGTGTACCACCTAAAACACGATCTCCGCAAACCAGCTCATCACAGGACCGCCACTGTCCAGTAGCCAAAACGTTAGAAATTGGCCAACAATGAATTTCCAAATTGAAGTCACCCATGATCACTGTATCTTCACCACAAGCAGCAACAAACTCGAACAGCGCACCCAGCGCACGGCTGGCAGCTGTGCGATCTGAAGCATGTAAGTAAACATTGATGAGAATCAACGGCCTTTGCTGAGGTCTATAGAGTTTGACGGCCATGGATCTTTCCACAGACACCATGTCGACAGGAAGGGCCAAGGCCTCAGCAGGCCACTTTGTTAGAACCAATGTACCACCTTCCACTACATTTTTCGAATTTCTTCCTTGAGGGCCAGGAAAAAGTTGCCACCCGCGTGCCTTGACGGCACGAGTCACAGCATTCCAGCTGTGATTGTTAACTCTAGTTTCTTGAAGACACAGAACATGTAAATTCTGGAGCTGAGCAAAGTCAAGCACACCACCCAAGCGGCCTCCCAAGGACCGTACATTCATAGTCCCCAACCGCATAGTGCTGTCAGAGCCCGTCATGGGTTCTGATCCACAGCGCCATCCTGCTGCAATCCCAAAATGTCCAAAGCTCGCGAAGCAGCTCGCTGTCTGGCACTTGGAGCCTGAGCCGCAAGAGGCACCAAAATATCCCTCTGGCCCTTTCGAAACTTAGTCCAAACCATTTTACGAGGACACTGACTTCCTGTAAGCCGTCTGATGTTGTTGACACAACGCTTGCAATGCACACAAGCAAAACGCACCGTAAAATTGGCAGGCCACACAATGGCCTCAATCTGATGCGTGCTGTCTGCTGCAGTATCAGTGGTGCGAAATGCTCCAGAGTCGATGATTTCCAAAACTGTGCGGGCACCCTTCTTGAGGTCATCGCTGATGTCTGCATTTTTGAGGCACGCACGCAATCTTTCCACCAACTGCTTTCGTTTGGGCCCTTTGCTGGAAGCATACTGTTCACAAGCAATCTTTGCCAAACGCTTCGCTGGCAAAGCCATACTGCCACAAGTTTTGCAAATGACGTAAGACATTCCAACTCTTTTCTGTTTGCCATTTCCTGTGGCTGGAATGGTAACGAAAGTGGGGTCATGTGCTCCAGCATCGCCACGCTTGAAGCCAAGCAACCTTCGAGCCACTGCAGCTGCACGCACCTGGCGCGTGGCTTTGCTAGCATTCTCCCGTCTGAAGCTGCTGTCCTTGTGGAAGAGCTTGGCATCCGCCTGAGGATGTTTGTCTTCCCTATGCTTGCGGATGACGCTGTACACTTGGCCAGGTTTGAGGTTGTGATCAGCGGACAAGCCAAGTTTGCAAACAGGACACTTCCAGCTATAGACTCCTCCCTTCTTGACCGCAGACAGCGCAGGCAACGTGTTTTTGAAGCCGATTTTCAACTGTTCCTTCTCATCGGGATGCCAAGCATTGATATGAGCTCTCTTCTTGTCAACCCATCCTTTGCACACCCCAGTGGAAAAGTCACACAAAGGGCATGTCCACTCAGTACGCTTAGTGCGTCTGGACGAAGCACTGGCTGCGTCTTGTCCTTCACTGGCTGCACGTGGCGTGCACGGACCCCGACCCGAAGTAGCAGCCGCAGGGGAAGAAGAATTCTTGCGCTGCTCTGACAAAGTAGAGGCGGGCGCGGGGCTAGCACACCTTCCACGTTTATTGTTGCTATGAACCAGTGACGGCAAAGCTGACAATCTGGTGGCACCAACTGAAGTAGCGCCACATTCCGATCCTCCACCTCTGTTGCCCTGCATTGGACCATTTGCGGCCTGAGTCAAAACTTCAGGAGGGAAAGCACCTTCAAGTCGTTCATAGTGCTTTGAACGAAAACCACAAAGCGATGGGAGCACCACCCTTGCCACGACCATTGTAAATCTCCGGAACCCCACGAGGCTGGAAGACAATGATCGGGCGATCGTAGTGCACAGCCGCAGCAGAAACTTCAAGAGCACTGCCCCAAGCACCAATCTTTGAGAGCATGGTGAGATAGCTCTCCCATGATTCGCAAGCATTCTCCGCCTCTGTTGGCTCATTGCCGTCCCACCAGGGCTTGTAACGACCCTGGTGCTTGGTCAGGTGGGTGACAACGCTTGCACGCACATTCCTGGCTGTTTTTCCGCCCAAACTTTGAGCAAGGGCTTCAAAAAGACAGTTGCCGTCAGCAGGGATGCTTTTCACCTTCATATTGTGAGGGGGCTTGGGTTCCCCCGCAACACGCTTGGCCGGAGGACTCTTTTCAGGAGTACTGACAGTTCTTTTTGCCCCAGCGGGTTCTCCAGCATTGTCCATCTTTGCGAACGACTTGTCCTCATCCAAATTCTCAGTAGGAACCTTCTCAGCCCCTGCAATAGTCACTGGCTTTTTGACTGGCGTTCCCATGTAGAAAGATTTGCGAGGAGCAGGCGTGGCAATCGCCTGCCATGCATGGCTCTGGTTATAACTGACCCTTCCATTGCTAGCCAGTTTCATGGTATGTGTTCTCTGCCGTCTTTGTCTTGGAGCTTCAACAGCTACAATGACTTTTTCGCCAGCCTGAATTTCAATGAAATCCATATCCTTTTGAGCATTGGCCTGCACCCACCATTCCACTTGTTTGCCCACAGTTTTCCGGGACAACACCTTGAGTTCAGTCAGGCCAGCACGTGTAAGTTCCTGAGTCAAGGTACTAGCCGCCCAATCTCGCGGAACACCAGTGACGCGCCAAGCTCTGGCCTTAGGAGGAGGCTCGGCGCTCCTGGGCTTACGTACTCCCAGTCCATTCCATCCCCGGGCAATGCCCAGGTCACCAGCCATGGACTGAACCTTCTGCAAGTAGCTGGGCCCATCAAGTTCCGAACTTTTCTTGACCCACTCAACATCGCAAGATTCAATCACGGAGTTGTTCCATTGCAAAGGCTCCACAAACCAGGTACTTTTGCCTGAGCAGCCTAGAAGAGCTTTGGCAGCACTTCGCTCAATGCGTAAAAGGCCAGTGATCACTGGCTTGCCTCCGCCTTTCATGCTTTCTTGCTGAAACGCCCACATATCAAAGACTTTGTCCGCAACATGCTCTGGAACATGCCGATGCAACCAAGCCTGCGCGTTTGCCTTTGGCTTGGCCTGGATGCTCTGCCACTCGTTGTTTTGCAAATATTTTGCATCAACACTTAATCTCACTACAACAGTTTCAGGCTGCACTGCAGGAGCCGCTGACACAACGGCAGCTCTCTTGAGTGATGGCCCTTGGCCTTGAAGTGGGATCACAAACGCCTGCCTGGGCTGCACCTTGCCCGAGATCTTTCCTGGCACCATCCGCAAAGGTCGATCCTCAGTCTGCTTGGCCTCTTTCGGCGCTAGCATCACAGCTGTGATGTTGAGCTCTCTTTTGATATCAGGGGAATCGCCTTTCAGCAAAACCTGCAACTCCTCAAGTTGCTCTTCCGAGTTCACTTGCACTGTAGCTGAAATATTTCCAGGCTTATCCAGTGCGACACAAAAGTCATCAAAGCCCAAAATGGGCCCCGTCCAGTCTGACTGACGCAGGCTCCACACCGGCTTAAACGCAGTGTTGGCTCGAACCACTTCAGCAAAGGTCTTGGGCGTTTTGTGGGCTGCTGCTCTGTGTGTGGCTGTTTTTGGACGTCCGCCTTTTGCTTAGGATGTGGTTTCGAAGTATTCTGCGGGGGCTGAGTAGGAGGAGAAGAAGGGTAAAAACCACCCCCTTGGCCGTAATCCCCCAGACCACCATCACCGCCCTGTTTATTTTTGTTCTTGTTCTTAGTCTTCTTGGGTTTGGCACACCCGCCATGGCCCATCATAGCACTGAGCTGTTGAAGCAAATTCCCACCGCCACCCCCGAGTCCCAACAATTGGAAAAGCTGAGAGAGTAGTTTGAGAATCTCACCTGCTTGTTGCAAATTGAAGCCATTTGCTTGGTTATTGCTTTGTTTCTGTTTCCTTTTGCGAGCTGTTGCTCTGCTTCCTGCACCATTGCCATGCATGGCATGCATCAATGCGTTCCGCTCTTTTGAAGACACAGCCCAAATCTTCTGAAGCAAATCGAAACTTGCAAGCGCCACATCTGAACAATTCGTTTCTAAGCACTGCCAAGGCCCATCAGCAATGCATAGACCCGCAGCCACCGCGCGGAGGTTGTCCAGATAGCTGCTGTAAACCATCTCAAACCCAGAAAGCAATTGTTTGCCCATGTGGGAAATGATAGTCCTTTTGGGCGCAGAAGAAATTTCGTCAAAAAGGGTCAGTGAATGGAAATGTCGGGGAAAATTTCTATGTATTCAGGTGAAGAAGCACGGTTTGTACATAGGCGAATGCCACGGTTGCTAGTTCGGACTGCAAAGTTCCAAAGGAAACCCCATGTAGAATCGCACATTGCAACCTCAAACTATTGCTTAGCACCAAACCTTAACCAATGCAGATGCCAACATTTACCAGGATTTCATCACGACCATGCAAAAGGAAGTGAAACACCAAAAACAGCCTACTACCCAGAAGCAATGGCTAGGACCATCAGCGAAATGTCTTTACCCCGAGCACGTTTTCTCAATGCCAGTGATTGCTACAGATGAGTCAAAAAAAATAAGAAATCTCATTCAAAAGTTTGGGGTATGGCCGCAAAATTTTTGAAGAAATCATCCCATGAACCAAACCTTCAAGATAAAAGTTCAGTTTATACTGGAATCCACCTTCTCTTTGGCAGGAAAGATTCGCACAACCACCCAGGTTGGAAGGAAGCCATCAACAAGGAAAGGGATGAACTTCTAAGCCGAAAAGAGCCAACACATGTGGGTAGATTGACGACAAATTTGTCAGTTGAACAGAACATTGGGAGAATAATGGACTTCGTAGACTAAAAGCTCGAATAGTATTCCAGGGGAGGTGATATCCGTGATGAAAACAATAAACTAGCAGTGCTGCAGGAAGCAAAAGTCAATCCATCCGGCTTGGCTGGAATCAATGCAAACTTGGCGTACGGTTGCTTGAAGGGGCACACAAGGATGCAAAGCGATTGCGCGTAGCACATGCGAGGCTGAGATGATTAGTTTGGAGTTTGGATTCTGGGGTTTTCGGTGAAGGACTGCCCATGCAAGAGCTGTGCGAGACTATCTTAAATAGACCGATTGATTTGGTCTGTCAACAAAACAATGCATCAGCTATCCAAATCGTGCATGGAGGTTATAGTCCGAAACTTCGACGCATGAAGAAAGTTCACAAGTTGAATCTTTCTTCTCTGTATATACGAAGCATTCGAAGACCCAAACGTGAAACTGCAGTGTGTTAAGACAGCCGTACAGCGTGCAGATCCGTTCACAAAAGCCTTGGAGCCGTGCAAGTGGCCCAATGCTCTCGAGTTGATGTCAATCAAACCGCCTTGAGTTTCTCCAGTAAAGCTCGAATCAACCAATCGAGTCGGATAATTGAGAGAAGGGGGAGAAGAATAAATTCAAGCAAATGTACCAATTGTGCCAAGTAGATGTATCACCAAATGAAGGGTTAGTGTCACCAACTTCAGACATGTAGAAACACCACCAAATGCCTTGGTTGTGAAGCCTTTAGGCTCCTTCCTCGTATGTGTGTTGCATAGAAGTAACTACTGGTACAGTTTTACATCAAAGATGTAATTCAAGGAATCTACAGTTTGTACATGCACTGAGACATGTCGTTGAGCCGTCCAGTGGGTCAGAGGATCACTTTCCCATGATCCGGACTATTGGCTCAAGTGCCCTGTGTGAAAAAGTTTGCGCTCGCTGCCCGCCATTTTATCTTGCAGTGAGCACTGAAACCACACGTTTTCGTACCAGACGCAATAAATTGCAATGTATGGTGCACATTTGGTGTGAGATTAAAATAAAACACACACACACATATAATCATATATATATATATATTTATAAACCATTGTATTATACATATATATATATATACGTAATTACAAATTACAATATTAAATAAATAAATAAATAAATATATATATATATATTACATACATATATATATATATACACATATACATGTACGTGATCTGTAGACCATTGAATGATTCCATTCATACAAGGTTCCAGGCTGTGCAGTTCTTTGTTTTTCCCATCCAAGGTCAGAGGAAGGCGAGGAGAAGATAAGCACTGTGAAGAAGAATTTGCTGCAAGCCGAGTGTGGTACCAACGCTGCACAGGTGGGCTCACCATGGGGTCGGGTTACCTGGTGTTTCGTGCAGCTCAGCTCTTCTGCCCCAGGGCGCTCTGTTCATCGGCCGCGCTGCTTTGGAGCTGACTGGCGTCAGCCACCACTGTGGAATTGAAGAACACTGGGATTTCTATGAGACACTCAGGTGCCATTTGGCATGATCTGGCATGTTCCTTGTCTCCCCCATGTGTTTTTTGGTAATAAAGGTGGGGCCGCCTCAGATCATTCTGTTCATTGGGGCCCTTTTGCCTCTAGTTTTCCGCTTTGACGCCACCCGAATTCGCTCCATTTGTTGCCTGTTTGCAGTCAGATTTGGAGCAGACGATTTTGAACCCATTCATTTCTTGTCAGTTTTGATACCTTGAAACGGCTAAACCCGCTGTACCAGATCGGACGCCTTTTTCATGATGATATGATTCGATATTATATGGATATTCGGATTAGGCCCCGCAATGAAGCACAGAATTATACAGAATTAAGGACGAATTGACGAGTCAAATTGGTGCATAAAACGGTACCAAAATTGAAGAACAGCACCCACCACACTGAACGACAGTCGGAACAACAGCAATTTTGAGAGTGTGACGCCTGCAGACGGGCGTAGGAAGCTCTGACAGCTGGTCAATTTCAGACGGAGCACCCGAGGAAAACAACAGTTTCCCGTGGATGTGATTAAATTCAAACCAGGCATGTTCACAATGGTTTCCACAGAGAGATTCAGGGGAACGCATCAAAACATGGCCGCCAGTGGCTCTCACAGCTGGGTCAACCAGCCTGTTGAAATGGACATCTAAGTGGTAAACGATGAGCATGTTTGAGCCATATGAGACCACCCCAAAACGATCGAAGAGTTGCATTTTCGTTAATATATATATATATACATTATAGATGTATATATAATATATATATATATATTATACATGTATATATATGTATATATATATATTATGAATTATATATATATTATAGATGTAGATGTATATGTATATGTATATGTATATGTATATGTGTATTATGTGTATATGGATATGGATATGTATATGTATATGTATATGTATATGTATATGTATATGAGTACATGTATATGTATATGCATATTATGTATATGTATATGCATATGTATATGTATATGTATATTATGTTTATGTAAATATATATGGTGCTAAAGCATGTCCAATATGAATCATATTTCAGGGTTTTCCCTAATTAATATGTTTTTCCCATGGTTTTCCGCCGCCATCGCGGCCATGGCCAGGTGTGCGGCCTCAGCCCAAGGAAGCCTGGCCGCCTTTGCAGTGGCCAGTGGCTGGGCATCGCTGCTAGGGATGATGGGATGACCAAGGGACCATGACTTCCTGGTGCTTAGTAGGGAATGGATGGGAATGGGGGTTGCTGGGATGATTCTTACTAGTGATTATGGATCATTCCCTCATTCCCTGCTAAGCAACAGTAAGATGAGCAGCATTTTTTCATGTTGGACCATTGACACTGTAGAGTGGATTGAAATTGAAAGAAATGTGTTAAGACATGCTGAAATACTCTCATGAAGAATCATGAATAGCTATAATGAAGGGCTATGGGCATTATGCGTTTACATTGTCGGTATGTGAAATGTAGAGTCAATAGCTCATCGTTACAACCTGTGTTTGGTGGATGAACATCACGTTTACAGAAGCTAGTGTCATGTTCACAAGGGGGTGAGCCATACCATGCCATACATCACATTTACAGGAAACCCACATATGTTTGGCGAAAACAAAGGTTTCCTGTATATCAAAACACTTAAAAAACATCTATGTCTATCATATTGTCCATGATGGGTAGAATTGGATATAACATGACATAACGATGCAATTGCGAATGGGAAGATTGGCATACATACACTCCCCTGGCTATCACCTACTGGAATGACTTAAATTTGATCTTAGATATGCAACCCCCAACGGCTTGGACATGTTACAAGCATAGCTACATGTCCATGCTTCACCCTCATGTATCATCTTAGGTTCTTGCTATAAACTGGTGTAATGTTAGTAATGTTAATAAAGCAATAATAAACCACCCATATGGATTGATGGTTTATAGCCATTTCTGGTGATTTTGGGGATAGTTTACTATACTGTTTTAACCGCATTACCAGAGGAAATTTCTTTATTGGTTTAACCTATTGTTTTGATGCTTTAGCAGCCTACATGAGGCCATGTGTTTGCTGAAGCCGTTGCTCAATGCGAGGACAAGGGATTGGTCAGTTGCAAATCATTCTGCCTGGGAATGGTAACATTTCCTGGGAAATTCGAGATGCAAATCTAATCAATGATTCATTCATGCAATGTGGGGCCCCCCAGTTATAAATTGGTTTATAAACCCCAGTAACTATAGTTCTATAAGTATCATAAACCATAGTTATTGGAGTTATAAACCAACTTAGCTATCTAGGGGGCCCCACTTTGTGGTACAGTAAATATTGTCAATGTTTGCCAAAAATGCTGTGATTTTGCTTTCAGCTTTTGGAATATTTGGAATCTTGGACCAGTGCAAGCGGCCCGTGATTTTCTTCAGGAGAGTGTGGGCAACTTGAATCTTGATGCCTATTGTGCAGCCTCTGTGAGTCAAATTGTCCATGCGACCTTGGAACTCACCGCTGCGCTGACTCTTCTGGCAGATTTTTGCACCTTGATGAATAAATTTCCATTTGGACGACCACAAGACATCCGCGAAGACGGAAAGATGTATGCACACATTTTCCATCGGTAGGTCGGCTGCGATGCTGGCATATGCTCGTGATGCACCTGGATCTACGGAGTGCACGTCGTGCTTTTGCACATTTTTAGATAGGAAATGTATGGAAATGTCAAGATGCCAGCTCTGAAAGGAGTTTGGTGTGACCTCTGTGACCTCGAAATCAAAGGATTTCGTGTCTGAGCGGAAAATCGCCACGAATCATGCTTCGACAATCGACATCGGCTGGCAGCATATCCCATATGCTCCATGTATGGAATATATGGTAACATGGATCCCATCAATATACCCCCAATGTTAGCATATATACCATACATGGATCCTATGGGTATTGCACAGTGTCCCCATATTCCAAGGTGAAGAGCGCAGCTCCAGTAGACCCAGGCTCGTCAGGTCGTTTCGTTGAAAGGATGGTGTTCTTCATGGATGGGCCACCAGAATCCACCAGATATTTTCATGGAATTGCCACAAGACAAAAAAACATATGATGTTCTCATTAGGTTTTCTCATGTTTTCTCCAAGTTTGGTGGTACTTGGGAGCCATGAGACATGGCAGACATGGCAGACATGGCAGGAGGAGCACCAGCTCCAGGAGTGGATGGCCTGGATGGCGATAAGATCGACCGCCCATCGAGCCACGGAACGACTACGTCGATCCGGCGGACCAGCACTGGCCATGGGGCCATGGGGCCATGGGGCCATGGGATGACCAGGAGGATCAGGAGGACCGCGATGCTGCGGACTGAAGGAGTTGTAGATGTTGTAGGTTTCGCATGGTCTCGCACGCAAGTTGCGTGGGGAAAAATGGTGGGAAATTGGACGGAAACTTGATGTTTGAATCTTCCAATGTGTTCCATGCAATCTGGCTGCGACTTCGTTGGGCACTTGCCTTGACCTTTTGGCCAGACCAGTTTCGGAGGGCGCAAGCAGAGAAGCAAATCAGCGAGTGGCGTTGATGCCTGTGTAGGAAATCTGCATTTAGAGAGTCACCCATGCTGTTGGCTGATGTTGGCTGATGTTGGCTGGAACTTCTCCTTCCCTCAGCAAAACAGATATAGTCATATAAGTCATATATAAGATATCTAGATCATAAAAGATAAGAGCAAGTTGAGAGCACCCCTGCCTTGCGTTGAATGCGTGGCCTTTGCCATGTCCTATGGCTGATTCCCGCCTTGTCTCCCTCGGTTTCTCATTCGGAGTTTGCGGATCTGCATTGTTGGCTGTTCCCAGTGCAGCGGTGTCGTTCGGATCCAGAGTGGCTGGCGGGAACACCGCGGGTCCTGCTGGGTCAACCGGCTGCGGATCGATGCTGGGAGGAAGCGCGGGAAGCCTGGATCAACTGCAGAAATGCCGGGCTGGAAGCCGTGGACTTTGCATTGGCTCCCAATGTGAGCCTAGAAAAAGCCCTAGCAATGTGTGGGGTTGGAAGGGGCCGGAGATATGCTTGTTTGAGAAGAGTTTCAGCAGCCCCATTAATGATCATTAATGTATCATTTGATATCAACTAAATGTGCAGAACTATTCATCATCCCATGCTGTGTTCACGGCCCAGGAAGCAAGCTGGTGATGCAGCAATTCCAGACTTCTGCTCGCTGGCATACACAGGCACTTTCCTCAGAGACGAGATGAATTGAATCTGGAAATGGCTCAAGTGAAATTCTCTAAGAGCTCGAAAGTATGAAACGTCATGATACCCATATGCTCCATGGTGCTGGAATATTTACCAACATTCGCCCCATAAATGACCCAGTTTTGTAGGTAAATACACCATACATGGAGCATATGGGATAGTTTAGTTGCTACCCGTACATATCTCAAAATGACAACTCCTGTGGATCCGTTGGTGCCTTATTTTCAGTCATGGCCGTTCGACTCGCGATGGTGAACCGAGGTTCCTATCCATCAATGGCTACCCAAGGATTGCTGCAGCAGCTCGAGGAGGATAGATCGATGCGGGCCTTCTTTGATTACCAGGTCTCTTTTTGGTGGGCAAACAAGGACTGTTTTTTAATTACTGTTTTTTTTTTTATATGCAAAAAAGGTCAGTCTTTTTTTTGATTGATTACCAGGTCGTTTTTTTTTTTGCAAAACCGCTTTGCTGGTTCCTGAATGAAACCTCAACTAGACTCAGGGGCAAACACATCAGGAAACACAGGAAATGTTGGGCCCGTCTGCAGGAAATGACTCAATTCTCAGACATTGATCTCAGCAGGCCCGTGTGCAACAGCTTGTGGAGACCGGTGAAGGAAAAGGCGAATCTGATTGCTGCCACCAACGACAGCCACTTCTGTGGGTCCTGCACAGAACAGCTGAAAGAAACTCAGCCAATCCAGGAGCCTGTAGAGAATGATTATTGTGAATCATGTTCAATATAGATATGAGGGACCCTCTGGTAATTTAACATAGCTATGGAAAATCACCATTTTTAATGGGTAAATCCACTATAAATGGCAATTTTCAATAGCAAACTGTTAGTTTACCAGAGGGTATGGTATGGGTTAGAGATGGTTAGAGGAATCCGCAGATTTTCTGATCATTTCAAGTAAATCATCCCAATTTGCGGTACCGAATGATTGCGGTGTCGTCCAAAAACCGCCCCATCCATCCCATCCAAAAACACCAGATCCAAGCCCACTAACCATTAACTAAGCGAGCAGAAACATCCAATGAAGTCTGGGTCATTCAAGATCCTTCAAGGTCTCTCCATGTCTCTCCCATTTTGCAATACTAAAAGATGTCCAGTCAAGCCGTGAGTTTGGAGGAGAAAACATAAGAAAAGCCTCCCAAATCGGCCCAGGATATGTGGATGCGTGCGGGAAATGACTTGGACTTCGCTGAGTTCCCCTTCAGTGCAGCAAAGGCGGAAGCATGTATCATTCATGAGATGTATTCCCATTTACAGATTTTACAGGGCGCAATTCCGACCCTCTCATGGAACCATGAGCAAGTCTGAAAGTTTGAGGGCCCTAAAAATCGAAGATGTTTTCCCACATTCATATTTTGTGAGGTTCGAAGATCTATAACCGCGGTTTAAAATCATGTATTTTTTCAATCTCAACTCTCAACATGGAAAAGTTTGGGTCGTTGATTTCATTTACCCATGATCAACCCATGATATATCCATGTTAACCCGTGATTCTTGCAGAAAACCTGAGAAAAACCCGGGTTTCTCAAACAACCCCCCGGTTTCAACCCGTGATCACCCTGTGATTTACCCATCTGTGGCATGGTCAAAGATGGGCAAATGGGGCAATGGAGGATTGCGGACAAATTCTTCGGCTTCGGATTCTTAGGGTACACATATCTGGTGCATCCTGTACTGGTATTTTTTCTGTTGGGGTTAGCTAAATCAAAACTTTGTGGAATTTTATTGAATACGATTCGAATTTTAATTAATAACATTGCTTTTTTTTGCCAGTGCCACCCGGCAAAACCAGTAATTACTTTGTCCGTGCTTTAACCCATGCATTGCACCAACTTTTTGCTTGGCTTCAGGCAAATTTCAAACACATTGCATTTATTCCCAAACCATTTTGTTTCGTCAACCCAAAGTTTTCTTCGTAGTTTTTGAGGTTTTCAGGTACATGTATGCGATATTATGTGATCATCTATACATATATCCTGTTGTTTTCTTGCAAAGATCATAAAGGTAGATAGGCCAGAGCTGATATTTATTGAGATATCAACACTTAACAACATCAACAGTAACTTTTTGAAGCAGTATTGGTTTGTCTGAAAACGGGGAATGGCAATTTTGATGGGTAAATTGATGATTAAGCAGTGGATTTTTGGGTTCCTTTTTTCGGACTAACCCGTATGCTGTTTCTTTGCTTGGGCCATGGGGTTTGATGTGCTTTAGTTGGTTCATGGAGATCAGCTGCTTACAGGCTGATTGCTTCCTTGGAGTTTTGACCCTCACATTGACTGAGCTTTTCTGTGTCCATTCCTGCGCGGCATTCGCTGACTCGGACGACTCTGAAGTTCCTGATTGGGACATTCACACCATGCTTTGGAAGAAGGTGAGCATGCTGAAGTTGGATAATCTTACTGGTGCGTTTTACGCAGGGAATGATGGAATGATCCATTTCATCACTAGTAATCATCCCAGCAACCCCCATTGCCATCCATTCCCTGCTAAGCACCAGTAAGTCGTGTATCATTTTGTTGCATCTACTGAGAATCGACTTGGAAGATCCATGATGCCATGACTGTCACCGCTTTGTTTTTGCTTCACCTGTGGATGTCACTACCCAGGTGCAGTTGGAATTGGAAGGTCTCTTCTTCTTTTTTGACTTCCCATTGGCTCTCCTGGCATCTTCAGGCTGGCCTGTGCTGCCGTTACTGCATCGTTTGGGCAGAGCATTTCAGCAAAACTTTGGTAATGTGATACCCAACGATTGCGACCTTCTTGACGGGAAGAGGCGCGATGAAACCATCAAGAAATGTGGGGTTTTCTAGGATGGCTTTAGCACGATTTTATAGGATTATATAATACTATATATATACATATAAGTATCATTCGTTGTATCTGGATGGATATTGGAGCTATGTGGATGGAATGTGGTGGGTCCAAAACCTCTTAACATCTGTTTTATGGGCATGATGCTTTGACCTCGCCCTACCTAATCCCCTCGAAGGGATCACACCACTGGCCACCTTGGGGCCAACGCACTGTCCTGTAGTAATAAAGCAGGCGGTGTATGAGAGCAGGGCATATGGGCTAAAGCGCCTGCTCTGGGCCAGCCTGGCAATGAAACCTGGAGCATTGCTGCTATGGGTACCCGCGGCAGTGCTTCCAGGTTTCTCCCAGGGGCTCCATGTTAGGGAGGCCTAATGAGAGTTCCACCAATGTAGTAGTGTGTTTGGTTGCAAACATCACCTTTTCTTGCTTGGCGAAAAATTATTAAAGGTAAACTTGCAAATTTCAAAGGTCAAGCAAACTTTGTACATAGGACACCTTGTAAAAATTGCTTTCATATATTCAGGCTAGGGCCCCCTGGGTGAAAATACTCGCTGGAAAACTTTGCAAAAATTTGATTAGGCTGGGAAACCCTCTTGCTTTAAACTATTAGCCAGGAAGCTGCTTAAACACTTTGGGCTGGAAAGTTTTTTAAAAGTATTGAAACTGGGAAGGTATTAAAAAACTTTGGCTGGGAAGCCATCAAACAACATTTGGGCTGGGAAGCCCTTTAAACTTTGGCTGGGAAGCCATCAAACAACATTTGGGCTGGGAAGTCCTTTAAACTTTGGCTGGGAAGCCATCAAACAACATTTGGGCTGGGAAGTCCTTTAAACTTTGGCCGGGAAGGCATCAAACAACATTTGGGCTGGGAAGTCCTTTAAACTTTGGTTGGGAAGCCATCAAACAACATTTGGGCTGGGAAGTCCTTTAAACTTTGGCTGGGAAGCCATCAAACAACATTTGGGCTGGGAAGTCCTTTAAACTTTGGCTGGGAAGCCATCAAACAACATTTGGGCTGGGAAGTCCTTTAAACTCTGGCTGGGAAGCCATCAGGCAACATTTTGGCTGGGAAGCCCTTTAAACTTTGGCTGGGAAGCCATCAAACAACATTTGGGCTGGGAAGTCCTTTAAACTTTGGCTGGGAAGCCACCAAGCAACATTTGGGCTGGGAAGTCCTTTAAACTTTTGGCTGGGAAGCCATCAGGCAACATTTGGGCTGGGAAGTCCTTTAAACTTTGGCTGGGAAGCCATCAAACAACATTTGGACTTTTCAGGCCTCACACCTGATTCATCGAATGCACTTTAGGTTTTCAAACTTCATTCGTCAGTGGATGCACTTCGGGGTTTCAAACCTCATTCATCGATGCACTTTTGGTTTTCAAAACTCATTCATCGATGCACTTTTGGTTTTCAAAGCTCATTCATCGATGCACTTTGAGGTTTCATACCTCATTAATCGATGCACTTTGAGGTTTCAAAACTCATTCATCGATGCACTTTTGGGTTTCAAACCACATTCATCGATGCACTTTTGGGTTTCATACCCCATTCATCGATGCACTCTTAGGTTTCATACCCGATTCATCGATGCACTTTTGGGTTTCGTACCCCATTCATCGATGCACTTTTGAGTTTCATACCTCATTCATCGATGTACTTTGGGGTTTCAAACCCCATTCATGGATGCACTTCTGGTCGTCACACCGGGTTCATCAATGCACCTTGGCCTTTTGGAGGCCTGAAACAGCGACCATCGATGACCAGGCCTGTTTGGAGGCTCGGATTGGCAGTCATCGATGGACTCCCGGGCTCCGCGTCCATTGATGAATAGAGGCTCTGAATTTGCTTTAACCACCTTTGGCAGGCCAGCCGCGGCTGCTCCTATCATCATACCAGGAGGCTCTGGAGTGCATGTGTGAGACACATGTGGGACAAAAAGTGCATTGATGAAACATGCGCCTGTCAAATTTTCATCAATGTAACGTGGGGCCCAGGGTGCATTGAACCAGCATGCGCTTCGACTGCAACATTGATGAACATGTTCAAACCCAATCTTTAAATCAACTTTACATGTTCAAACCATGGTGTTTCAATGGAGTCTGGGGCCCAGAATCGATTGATGAAAGATATGAAATTTGTAAGTTTTCATCAACTGTTTTTTTGCCACACAGGGTAGTCTACTGAGAGGCCAATTTTTAAATTGACCCTTTGAGATTTTGGGGTGTGATGCCAACTGACTAGCGTTGGTTGGACGTGGCGTTCAACATCATTGTAGAACTCTTTTGGCGAAGCTGCGGCTATCAAAAAAATGCTCCAAATTCATTGCGTTCAATTTCAGTCAGTTTATTCAACATTCTTTGCAACATGTCAAATGGTTTCTTTGAACATTGACTTCTGCATGACCCTGCAGCCACCAACTTGCCAGGCGTGCCGTTCGAAGAACTTCACATTGCGCTGGTGTTGCCTCAGGTCAGGAAAATAGGCTGGGAAGCCTTGAAAGCCCGGGCTGGGAAGTTTCAATTAACACCAAAATGATGGCTGTGAAGCCTTCCTCAAAACCCATGGCTGGGAAGCCGTGTTAAAAAAATGGCTGTGAAGCCTTAATCAAAACCAATGGCTGTGAAGCCTTGCTCAAAACCAATGGCTGTGAAGCCAAATTTAAAACACATGGCTGTGAAGCCTTCCTCAGAACCCAGACTGATCAGTAGCAGGGAAGCTGTCGTCAAGATTGGTCTAGTGATCAGATTCTGCACAGCTGGAAAAATGTTCTAGATTGTCTTCAGGTTCGCCCCATCAAGTTAGGATTCTTTCAAGTTTGCTATTTGCTGGGCAGGCTCTGCTGCGCCTGGATCTTGACATGTTTTTCCCGCAGCTTGTCTCCAAAACCTACTAGGTAACATATAAATAGGCAATGTCACTAGAACTTGTTTTGTTGGTCGAACCTGTCGATCAGCCAAGGTACTTTGACTCCCTGCCATCTGTGGGCTGGGAAGCCATCATCCAACTGTGGGTTGGGAAGCCCTTGAAACTATTGGCTGGGAAGCCATCAGCAACTTTTTGGACGGGAACGCCTTTTTTCAACTAGTGGCTGAAAAGCCAGCAGCAAAGTTTGGGGTGGGAAACCCCTTTGGGCTGGGAAGCCCTCTAAACTAGTGGCTGGGAAGCCGTCAAGGGCTGGGAAGCCCTTTACACTAGTGGCTGGGAAGCCATCAAACAACATTTGGGCTGGGAAGCCCTTTACACTATTGGCTGGGAAGCCATCAGGCAACATTTTGGCTGGGAAGCCCTTAAACTTTGGCTGGGAAGCCATCAACAATCTTTGGGCTGGGAAGTCTTTGATTTTGAAGAATGGGGCTTATTTTTTTAGATGGGCCAAATGGCGGGGTGGTGACTTCAAGTTCCCAGTTACTAGTTTAACGGGCTTCCCAGCAGAAAGTTTTTTGATTTGCAAACCAGTACTTTCACCAAGGGGATCCTCAGCCTAGTAGATATTTAATATTATATGGAAACATGGAAAATCTTTATGTACAAACTTGTTGCATCTTTGAAACCATTGTGTCTAATAATATTTGAAAATATGTGGTGAGAGGTGATGTTTGTCCTGTCATGTGTGTACAGTACTGTGCCATCACTTATACGCTGAATTTTTTTTATGGGTAACATAGTAAATGGAACCAATGTCTAAAGAATGATCACCAACCAAACACACTACTACATTGGTGGAACTTTCATTAGGCCTCCCTAACATGGAGCCCCTGGGAGAAACCTGGAAGCATTGCCGCCGGTACCCATAGCAGCAATGCTCCAGGTTTCATTGCCAGGCTTGCCCAGAGCAGGCGCTTTAGCCCATATGCCCTGCTCTCATACACCGCCTGCTTTATTACTACAGGACAGTGCGTTGGCCCCAAGGGCAGGCTCCGCCCCACACCTGGCCAGTGGTGTGATCCCTTCGAGGGGATTAGGTAGGGCGAGGTCAAAGTATCATGACCATAAAACAGATGTTAAGAGGTTTTGGACCCACCACATTCCATCCACATAGCTCCAGTATCCATCCAGATACAACGAATGATACTTATATATATATATATATACCCATATGCGAACCATGGTGCTGGCATATTTACCTACAAAACTGGGTCATGAACGTGGGGCAAATGTTGGGATTCATATTCCAGCAGCATGGTTCGCATATGGGATATATTTAAGAAACAATCATAGGAATTTAATCATTGGGATGGGTCAAAAGCCTATGATTCTCTCAATATTTTCATGTGGGATCAACATCCGCAGCAGCTAAATGTTGATGTCAGGGGCGAACTGTCGATCCAAAGGAGATCCTTAGCGAAGTGTAAAATGGGTGGATTTACACCAGGACGGCCCTTTATTGGAGCCGCATTCCAGATGTGCTCCAAACCAGGTCTGACGAGCTGTTTTCGCAAGTACAGCTCTTGCTGGACTCGAAAGAAATGGAACTGCCCCAGATCCGACAAATTGCGGACACTGCCAGTGCCTATCTCAATGATGTCTACAACACCTGTCCATTTGCCGTGGGAACAGCTGTGCTGGCACTGATGCGAGCGGCACAACTGTCCAGTGTCATCCAAATCTCTGATTCCGATTTTTCTTTTCTGGCCATGGATGCCATGAAAACCTGGGACGCGATGAATGGTGAGCGCGTTGGACTTAAGAGACACTTCTTCTATGATCTTTTAACCACGCGCTGGCCGTGGCTGCAGCTCCTTGAACTTCTGCATTAGGTGAGAACTCAGATCCAGGGATTCGCGAATTTCATTTCGAGATAGTCATTCTATATCATTCTATGCTTATACCATGCTTAAATCCATATAACTTATACCCATTTTGAGGCCAAGACTTCAGTTTATTTCAGCTTGACATTGACCTTGCCACCGGTCCCAGGCTAGTGGAGCAGGTGAACCGCTGGAGGAGCCCCCGACTGGCAAGACATTGGCCGGTGGATGACGTCGCAGTGAAGGAGGAGCTGCTTTTGCCAAGTTGCGAGGACCGTGTGATGGCGTCCAGAGAAAGTTGGGAATGGCATTGGACAAATTCACCCTTTCAGGCGAGGATAGCGACAAAGACACATCAAACGTCATCAAACTAGCTCATTTTGTCTCACACATAGCTTCGGGAGTGCCACAAAGATGCAGGAACTTCAATGAAAACACAGATCCCTATAGATTTCAACGTAGCAAGCTTTGTCTGCTACTAGCTGCTATCATTAGATATCAGTATGTTTCAGGCCCACGGCCAGAAGTTGGACCAGCCACGAACTTTCCACGATGTCGCGTTGAGCCTGTGCAAACTCGATGGAATGGAAGTTCTTTTTCTGAGCGGCACGTCTTCAGGATACAAATGGGGCTCCTACACCGTGCGCGGCAGACAGGTTGCTCGGGGCTTGCGACGACTTTTGCCCATGGGCCCAGAAGTGCGCGCAAGGGCCTGGAATCAGGATTGTACAACTTGGTGCAGTGACCGACAAGTCTATGGAGAGAATTGGTCGAACCCTGCGATCATTGTACATGTCAAGTTTCCATGCAAATGTGCTTTGGAGATGTTCACCACGGGTGACTCCACTTGGACACCTTTGCATGTCTATGATCAGGTGGATTTATTCTCTTTGGTCCCTGATGGAATGGCTGTCTTCCTGGCTCAGACATCATTGGGTGCCCAAGATTATGGTTCGCACCCATCAGTGCTCGCTGCTGGGATGCAGGTCTTTTGGCATCCCTTGCATCACTCCAACGAGCAAGGATACCAGGTACCTTGGCGCGAGAAAATAGAGGTCATTGGTACTCATACTGTTCACAATGACACTGAGCTCTTTGCAGCTGTGAAGCTTTTAGCCTCCAACTTGGGAGTGGAATTTCTGCACATCGATCCGACCGCTCGCTTTGCAAACACCGCTGGATTGGTCGTCAGTCCGCAACAAACACTCGAGCTTTACGAACAATTTGGAGAGATGGACATCACAGTGATGCGACATGCTGGTTGCATGGATCATCTCAACTGTACCTGAAAAAACGATAAAAAACCTGCGGTAATCAAACATGGTCATGGAAAATCATGGAAAAACATGGGAAATCCCTATTAAAACAGATGATTTCCCTATTAAAACTTCCATTTACAGGGGAGTTAAGCCATGTTTGATTACCGAAGGGTAGCAGTTTTTTCTTTGGTGTGTTTGGAGTCCACATGACGATGTCGAAGTCTGCAATTGTAGTACACCTTGAAGTACGCCCTTGTCGAAAGCTGGTTTAGGATTGGATCTATTTCATCTATAGGGGTCCCAGCTACTTGGTATTTATATAATGTTATTATATTGGCACTATTATAATGCATATTATACTGGTTGGTGGTTTGGAACATTTTTTATTTTTCCATATATTAGGAATACTAATCATCCCAATTGACTAATATTTTTCAGAGGGGTTCAAACCACCAGCCAGTATATATATATATATTATATGAATGTATCCCCATTTCAGGACGATTAAATAATAATGAAACCACATGGCATGAGAATGATCCGAATATCCAAAGTGCCACTGTGCCAATATGATCTATGGCCTTTCAGGCAGTGCAACTCGAAGCTGGCTTTGCGATCGATACAAGACGGGGCAACGATTGGTTCCTTGGATATCTATCTGGGCTGGTGGCGGATGGTGATTTTTCAAGAAAAAACAGTTGATATATACTATGATTTTGTTGATATCTACTATATGAATGATCAGTTTATCAATGTGTTGAATTGATGTATACCAATCGTACCATCAATTTGTTGTTTTGTGAAAAACAGTTTAGGCAAAGATGCAACATATGTAACAGATCGCACAAGAAAACACATGGAACAGTTTATTGGGAAGCTCTTTCCACATTTGTAATTTCCATCCGTGTCAACAAGCTTCAGCCAAGGTGAACGCTTTTGCAGTGGGTTTGCCAGCAGTTTTCTGGCACCAGCAAGGATTTTTGGATCTGGTCGCTGGAACAGATTATCCAGCTATTGCCACAAGTGCTCCACTCAGAATCCCAGATATCCAAGTCAGCCTTTCAGGGTGTGAGCTTTGGGAACAGGGTCACTTAAGCGCCCGTTTCAGGAGATTCAACAGTTTGCCAATTGAGTAACCCCGAAGTGTAAACTCCATAGTTTGTTGAATATGTATATATATATAATGTAAATAACTGACTATATATATATATATGCAATTATATGCACATCAATTCACCAGACATTTTCCATGAAAAACCTATCTCACCATCTTCCAGTCTTTTTTTTAGACGAAAAACTTCAATGGAAAACATCTCCCCAAAATCTCCATCCATCTACCACCAAGGCATGGACCAAGCCTTGCACTGGCTCTCTGAGTTGGTCACCAACTCGTCCCTACGTCTCCAGTTGCGTCAGCAGGCCCTGCAGCTGGCCGAGCCCTACAGCTTGGAGAAGCTGAGCCAACGCCTGGCGTTGATCTTCGCGCAGGTGCTGGAGGAAAATGGTGAAATTAATTTAGAGCTATGATATTTGTAGCTTAAGACTGAAGTTTATTATATATACAGTATTATGTATATGTATACATGCATATATGTATGTAATGTATGTATATATATACATATATATATGCATATATGTATGTAATGTATATATGCATGTGCATGTGTATATACATACATACATACGTACGTACGTACGTACATACATACATGCATGCATACATACATGCATACGTACCATAACATAACATAACATAACATAACATTCCATTCCATTCCATTCCATTCCATTCCATTCCATACATACATACATACATACATACATACATACATACATACATACATACATACATACATACATACATACATACATACATACATACATATATGCATATGCATATGCATATGCATAGAGATTATTGAATATGCGTAAATGTATGATATGTGGAACCACAAGGATACCTTCATACGTGATAATATGACATGAATGGTTGGTTCCTGGTTTAAATATCCAGCAAGAATGGGAGAAATAACCAGCAACTTTATGTTTTGGGCCAGATTTAGAATGTGGGTCAGGCCCTCAAAAGGCAACTAGAAATGGGTTGAGGAGCTGACGGGAGTGTATGGGTATGGCGACCAAAGGAACGAAACTGAGGTAGCCATGCAAGTGCATGTTTACTTGTCATGTATTGCATTCTAAGTCTGAGTGTGAAACAATCCAGTTTGGGGTGTCGGCAATCAGAGGATTTTAGGCCCCCAGTCAAAAGATGTTCAAAGGGACAATCCACCAATCAAAGTATATACCATCTGGTTATTTAACGTAGCCATGGAAAATCACCATTTTTAATAGGTAAACCATCTATAATTTTCCATGGCTATGTTAGTCATAACCAGAGGGTAGCACTAAAAGCCAAGATCACTGCATTGCAAGCTATAGAGGCTGAAGCTGAGAAAGCGGTCCACCGCATGGCACGAGAAAGTTGTGTGGCTCAAATTCACACTGCAACAGGTTCCAAAGGAAGTCAAATTCACACTCATCATTAATATCATTAACAGTATATTACCATCTATTGGTTGTTAATACCAACACTCTGGATGGAAAATCCACAAAGCAAAGGTTTTTTAGTCCAGGCACTGGCACTGCCAAAACATATATGGCTTACGGTAAGCATATGCGACAAGTCGAGCCTCTCTTCTTTGCAGATGTTTGGACTACGACTATGCATATGTATAACATATATATATATTTAAAACATATCCATACGATTTCCCTTGGAATTTTCAGATAGAATGGAGTAACAAGGGTTACAGATTTTCAGCAGATCCTTTTTTGCAGATGATGTCAGTATCAGAATTATCAGAGCAGGGCAGTACCAGCCGCAACAAATATCAACGCATAACAAGGGATCGACGCTTGAACTCCACTCGTTCGAAAGATGCCGCAGCTTCCAGAGATGCCGCAATCCCAAGCAATTGAGATGTCACCCGCTGATGGGTTCGCTGCTGAGTCAGTGATGAATTTCAGATGTAGCAATGGTAATTATATTATACAAACATACACAATAACTGCTCATGTGTCATTCCATGTCATTCCTTTCTTGATCTTGGGAACGTTTGATTATGTTGATTCCTCAGGAATGAGTCGTTTCTCAGCGTGCAGTCCTCCCCCAGCTTCAGCGATGAGGTAGACATTGAGGACCAACTGCCGTCAGCAAGTTTGACGCAAAGTGATAGGTTATGACTATAAGTGTTATATGTTTAATACATGTTGAATGCATACTTCAGCAATTTTTGCATACTCCCCAATTTATTATATTTTGTTCACCGAAGTTTCTGTTGTGAGGCATTGCAAAGTGAAATGTCCAAGGGAGTGTGTGCGGCCCTCAATGATGTGCTTCTTGGTCCCACTAGTCTTTGGACAACTGCAGTTCGCCAGGCAAGGAATATTCGGCTGCAGGTCAGAACCTTAAACTTAGTCCCGTTGCTTGGATTTGACTGTCAGCCAGTCAGACCCTGTGAGGTCTGTGCTTTCTTTGGCCTGGTTTTATATTTGGAGGCTGCCTCTTGCTATGCGGCTTTCTGGCACCAAAGTATCTTGGTTGTAAAACTTCTAGAGGCTGATAATCCAAGAGGGTCGTCCATCGTATTATTTTTTCAGACAGGTAGTTATTCAGCGAAAGTCTTTGCCATTGCGGCATGGCCGCAATGGTCCAACCACATAGCCTTTACTCCACTATCTGAAACGAGCAAGACAAGAATAACGCAATGCCAAAAAACCCTGAATCTTGGTGTTTGGATAAGTGCTAGGTTGGTTTGGTATAGTTTTTGGCGTGTGATGTTTGTGGACGGAACCCTTGACTAAAGTTGCAGGGCACATCGCAGCACAATCCTTCCAAAACCTGGTTCCAAAGCCGGTATGGATGCACAGAATTTCTTATACAGATAAGTACGTATGTAGATATATATATATATATTATAAACACATCATCAATTACATATTATATGTATATTTATAATATATATTATTTATTAGCTATATATAAATAATATTATATATTATATATATATATATCATATAATATATTATACATTGTATATATAATATGATATATTATATATATTATATTATATATTATATATTATATATTATGTATTATATATTAAATATTATTTTATACTATATTATATCATATTATATATATATTGTTATAATATATGTATTTATTATATTTTTTTGTAGGGATATCAAATTCTTATATATTATATACTATATTATATTTATATTTTCCAATTTGTATTATATTCTATTTATTATATGAATTGTATATATATATATTATTATTATATATTATTATTATTATATATTATTGTTATTATATATTATTATTATATATATATTTTTATTGTAGATATTATATTATACTATTATATTGTATTTTGCTATATTACAATATATTATTTTACATTATTATATTATATTACATTAAACTATATATTATACTTTACTATTTTTACATATTATATTACATTATATCATATCTTGATATATGACATTATATTATACTAATATTATAATATTATATTATAATGTATTATAATATATTTTGATATATAATATAATATTATATTAATACAATATATTATAATATATTATATGATACTATATATAGGTCAGCATGTGTACATTTCCTTTTTGTGAATGAGGGCATTCTGTCACCTGAAAGTGCGTTCGTCGTCGCATGCTGACATCCGTGGAGCTTTTTAGCATTTTTCATCCGAGGACGTGTCACCTTTCCGTCGTGCATGCGTTGATGGACCTGGGGATAGAGTCCCTTGTTGCAGCAGTAAGAGGTGAAGTGTTTGGGTTTCCTGGAAATGGGGGATCCCCAATAGCTGGATGGTTTAGTTCATGGAATATCCTATTAATGTGGATAAAACAAGAATAAACTACCCATTTAGGGAATAGTTTATACCACCTATTTATGGTGATTTGGGAGATGGTTTATTATTGTTTTACCCACATTATATTATAAAATGGATGATCCCATTCTAGGAAACCTCCAAGTGGCTGTGGCCTTTGAGGTATATCACTATGAGCGGTGCGTTCTGTGCCATCGTCTTGCTGTTTGCAAGTCAGGCGACAACACTAGCAACAGACAAGCAAAACCCCACAGACTATTTGTGTAATCGGTTCTGGACGTGAACTTGTGTTGATAAAAGCCGGCGCAATTTGCAGCCAGTCTCCAGAGCAACTCTGCAGTTCAGGTGGGAAAACTGGTTGGTTTCAGATTTGCTGCGCACAAATACAAGGACAGACCCTAGTGATATCAAATTGTATATATATATATATATACACAGTACATTTATATGGTGATCGATCTAAAGGTCCTTGTAAAGAGTTTAAACTGCGAAGACCGTTCATGTCATGCTGGGAACCCTCGCAAAAGTTTTTTGCGAGTTCGCGACTTTTTTTTCGCGAAAGTTGGATATTATGAATCGTTATCATTGTATACATGACAGCTTGTTAAGGACCACCAGCTTTTGCCACCCGGGGGTCCGGCAGGAGAATGGTTCTGCACGTTTACTTTTCCCATCATACCGAAGGTGAGGCTCCGCCACAGCCAAATACCATGGTCTTGAAGCACATCCTTGCACCTGCCGCTGGTACTGCCTAACGTTGCTTTCTGAAGTCTCAAGAAACAAACTCCAAATGCAGCAGCCAAGCTTCCAAAAGTGAGGCTTTGCGAGAGCCAAACACCAAGGCCCCATGGTGTTTGCTTTTCCTTTGATGCGCCCCCTGCTGATGGCTAGGGTCTGCGGATATGCGAAGGAGTAGGCGAAAGTCAAAGTGCACTTTGAAGGGAGTGGCCCAGTAAGCCTTGCAAAAAAATCCTAATCAGCAACAACCTCTCCTGAGAGATTCGGTGATGCTAACGGCTGAATGCTGCTGCTAGATGCATGTTTACAAGGCTATGAAGAAGTTATCCGTGATAATTTGGTGTGATTTGGCAGGTGATGAATGAATCTTCATAAGAGGAGTTGTTGCTGAACATGGGTTCCGCGGAAGATAAACATGAAGTTCGCAAAAGATTTGCGAAAAAAAATTGTTTATGCGCGAAGAATGGCCATTTGCAGAAAAAGGAATTTAGATCAACCGCCATATATTATATCAATTAATAGTGACTCAAGTCTTGTAACACCGTCCAGAATGATGCTTTCAGCTGCCTCAAGCATCATATCAGGAGCAGCAACGTGAACGCGAGGAGAAGGAAGCAGAACTGCTGGCGTCGAATATGTTGAAGAGGACACGGCAGCCAGAGTAACCCGGCACCGGGGAAAGCAGTCTGACCATGGATTTTGCAAATGTCAAATGTCCTGTTTGTTTGATCATATCCACAACAGAACAAGGGTAATGTTTCTGTGCATCCCTCGCTTGACTTTGTTCACTCTGTTGTGGCAAAAACGGACAAGAATGCGACCTTTGTTGAAAAAAAATATTTTTCTGGGATGAATCATTAATCCATTCAGTGAGGCTGTTTGCATCATGAAACTATCGGCTATGTGCAGAGGCGATGTTGCACGGTTTTGGTAGGTCCTTTCCGGCACGGTGCAGGATGGCAACGACCAAATCTTGTGCGCTAATATTTGCTGCATCGTTCATTGTCCTCACAGTGGTACTTTGGATCTGGGGCATCTTGGCCAGACTTTTGGGGAAAAATATGGAGAAAAAATGAGAAAAACATGGTCTCAAATTTGTCAGACCCGGTTGAGGTTTGCCGTTAGTATGGCCATGTGGCGTTTTCAGTGCAGGCATTTTATCAATGCACTCCTCTCCACAGTGCGGCTGGGCTCACGCGGCATTCTGGTGTTCCTCGGCGGCATTTTTTCGGGATCCGCGGCTGAGTTGTTTGAGCAGAATTGGTTAGTGTCCACAGTGATGAGTGTCTTCAAATCTGGCCCATGTTTGCAGTCGCTTGTCATTTGCAAAGTGGAGATTGAGAGATTGATTGGCACAGGTTTATTCGCGGTCTCATTCAGCTCACTGGTCTTTGCCGGCTTCATTCTTTGTAGATACCACGACAGAATTGAAATCAGCTAAAAGGCGCTCAACATTTGCGCAGCCACGCTGTACGTTGGTGCTGGTGAATCTGGTTGCACTGTGTGCACTTCCTTGGTTATTTGGCGGTTTGGTGTTCCACTAATGTTCTGCTTGTGGCAACAGTAACAGATCCTATCTCTAAACTTGGACCTGGTTGGGAATGTCCAACAGCTGCTGCGGTGTTGTTGTGGTTCTTGTTTTGCAATTCAAATTGTGAAAGGCCGTGTCCTTACATTCCCATCCATGCAATCCTCTTGCTCCTCTTGCTTGACTTCGCAGCTTCTGCCTTCAAATGTTACACTTTGACACATATGACACATAGATACACATAGTAGCATTTCTTAGCATGTTGCAGCTGCGTTTTTGCAAACTAAAAAGATCTTCAAGCAGACCTGCTTTGCCGTGAATGCCATGGACGATAAAGGAAGTGCTCGGCTTATGTGCTGACAGATGTGTTTCAACCGACATGTTCTTCAAAAATCTAGCGCCTTGCATCAGCACGCTACTGAAATTTACAAGTTTCTACAAGCTGATTTACATGTTTCGCAGGGGCAGCATGGCCAGCACGGCGACGATGATTTGAAGCGCCCTTGGGTAAAGCGCTGGGTCCCAAGACGGGGCAACACAGATTACTGGAGGAATACTTTTGATATATATATATACTGGTTGGTGGTTTGGAACCATGGAATTTTATGACTTTCCATATAGTGGGAATAATATGGAATAATCATCCCAACTGACTTTCATATTTTTCAGAGAGATTGAAACCACCAACCAGTATAATATGGTATGATTTGTGTGAAGCAGTGCAGCTGTGGCAAGAGTCTGCAACATTTCTATTGCATTCCGAGGGAACTGCCCGGCTCATACGCTATTTTCTTGTTTTTCAGAGACGCATTCTTCTCCAAATCTATGACACTATGACACTATGAGGTGGTGGTAAGTTTGTAAGAAGTGCTCCTCATTTATTCAGATGAGGGTTTGTCAAACCCGGGTTTGTAAAGAGAAAAGTAAGTTTTTTGGGAGGACCGAAGAAAACTGAGGGCATTTGCCTATCGTCTTGCCGCTGCATGTGACACTTGTGCTGAGGCACAGATACGTGTTGATCCAGGTTTGATGCAGCTAGCAGCGCAGTAGTCGAGTCAAGATGAGCAAAGTTTGCATGAGATTTTCTGAGCCACAGAGGATGTGCGAGCAGTTGCTATTGTTTGCTGTGTTTTTCCTGTTTTTTGGTGTTCCCTGTTTTTTTCATTTTTTTGGGGCATTTTTTTTTTGTTTGTTTGTTTTTGTCAGTGTTTTTTGTTTCATTGTGCTTTTCTTGTTTCTGTTTGTTTTGTTGTTGCCTCTTCACCATCTCTTAATTCCAGCAGGAGACATATCAACCTGCATGTTGCCCAAATGTGATTTCATTGTGCAAGGCATCTCTTTTGTGCCTGAGTTGCTTCTTGAATCCATTGCTTTATGTCTTTGCTGACAGCATCTACGATATCAATGATATCAATGATATCTATGACGACTCTACATATGTGCAAGCTTCTCTTTGAATGTGTCTCATTTGGCCCCTCCACATGCGGAGGCTGGAGTGAGCCAGTGAGCCAGTGAAAATCTGCGACAACAAAAAAAACAATACAACGTTGTATCACAAAGAGGACTTAGGATGGTATAAGTTGGTTTATGAATCCATCCTACTCAAGATGATCAACCAGAAATCCCAAATATCAGCGAAACTTATTACCGGTGGGGCACTTTGCAGGGTTACTCTTGAATGTTTTCTCATTCTGTTGAAGGGTCCCTAAAAGCGAAATGAAGCCGATTACAAGATTCTTCAAGCGGGAACGGACACGAAGAGTCGAGGATGCCGAGGCAGTTGCCAGACGTTGCCAGCGTTTGGTTAGCACGAACATTTTCTTCGGAAACAGAGATTTGGTTTGACTGCCACTGCTACCGCCGTGGCATGAACCGTTACCGAAGTCCGCGCGTGATTGAAGTTGGATGCAAGAGCATGAAAGATGCACCGCTGCTGTAGCTTCTATAGAGTTTCCTCATCCACTTTGAACACTGCATCCTCCCAGTAGCAGAACCGTTTCCCTCTTCCAAAAGCCTCCCAGTCTGCTGAGGGTTCCTCACCGACATGTCAAATGAGACAGACCCCAGGGCCCCAGACCTTTCGGAGAAGCCATTGATCAAAAGCCACCAGATATGGTGACTTTCCATTCCGCTTCCAAGGCCAGTGCAGAATGGGATCTTTTGCCACTCGTGTGCGCAAGTCCGGTTCAAGTTACTTGCTGGAAAAATGACATCAAGAATCAGCGCAAAGAATGACGCAGAATTTGATGTTCAATTTGCCAAGTTGGATCGGAAATTTGAACCATTTACCCTCTGGTTATGACTAACATAGCCATGGAAAATGGCCCATTTATAGAGGATTTTCCCATTAAACCTCCATTTATTTTTGGGATTTTCCATGGCAAACTGTTAGTCATAACCAGATGGTCATCTACCAACACAGTTTTTTTGCCACAGGGGTGTCCCGGACGGTCCATTGATTTCAATTTTTTTTCAGACGCAATGAAGCCACGGATTATCCACAAAATTGTGGTTGGAGTATGTTGGATTACTGAATTCACTAGACCATTTTCGGAACGAACATAAGCAAAGAATTGCAGTATGGCTTCAGAAATGCTTCTGAGAGTGTTTGCTGGGTGACATGGTGCAGCCGTTTTTTATGTTTTTTTTAATATTTTTCTTGTAAATATATACATAACTCATATATAACTCACTCTTCCCAAATAGCCATAAATAACCTTCAGTATGTCACGTCATTTTTTCTCAGCCAAGAGGCCCATCCTGGTTTCGTTGCGCCTTGGTGGCGCCATGGTGGAACTGGATGCGCCCATGGATCCCAGGGATCCCATGGATCCCATGGATCCCAGGCGCATTGCAGCTTGGTTCTCCCAGGAGTTTGTAGATGTTGAAGGATGTCAAGATTGTCTTGCTGGATATGGGTAATGGGTCAATACCTATAGATACCATTTTTAGTGGGATGAATGAACATCCATAAATCCCAGCTATGACTTGGTGTTCACGAGAGGTACCGGGGTTTTGACCCATCCCCATATGATTTTTGATGATTTTTGATGATAGTACTGGTATCTTAGACTTGGGATGACACCATGGTATTTTAAGCGCCTTGACTATGACATGTTATGATATTCATCATTTTTCATTATTTTTCCCTGATTGCCAAGGTTGCTGTGGCTGGCCGATTCAGCAATTCATTCCTTGCATATCTCAGATGGCACCCGAGATCCTATCATTTCTCGCCTGGCAGACGCGCAAGGTCGATGTCCACGCTTCAGAGTTCTCGATGTCGGTGCTGCTATGAACCCATGGACTCTAAATGTGATGACTGCTGTGGCAGATAGGACTCCAGATGCAGTGGAGGACTGCTTTAAAACTGCCGATGGCGCCATCTCTGCTTCTGTGGCGCGATTTTGCTGCCGTTCAGGCCCTACGACAGTTTTAAAGATGTCCAAAGAAATGGGTCAGCACAACGTCAGCTGTTTCACACCTGCTTTCGAATACAAAAGATGTTGCCGGGATGGCGAACCACAAAAATTGCTTCGGTTTACACTCGATGTCAACAAAGAGTCAGCATGGGACCCTTTGTTGCAGCATGTCGAAAAGGCTGGGAAGTTCGAGTATGCCGTTGCCTCTCATATCATTGAAGACGTGGTGAACCCCGAGATTCTGTTGCAGATGCTTCCACGAATTGCCATACGTGGCTTCGTGTCTATGCCATCCAAGTTTACGGAACTCAAGCGAGGAGTTGAGGGATTTGGGCCCCATCGTGGACATATCCACCACCGATGGATTGGCACTATGCAGGGAGGTCGTCTGCTGTTGCTTCCAAAGCTCTCGTTTTTGGAAACCGTTGAAAGCTCGGTGGAAGTGGTTGGAAATGCCTTAACGGCGGACTCCATTGACATGAGCTTCGAATGGGACACTTTGCCCTCGAAAACATCATTTTCCATCGTTGTTTGTTGCGCGTTTATAATGTTGGTATGTCATAGCATGTCGTAAAATACGAGTCTAGCCGTCTAGCCCAGTTCACTATTTTGGTTGTCAATAGTTGTCAGGTCATCAATGGATCAATGTTGAGCCCCGGGTTTGCCAATTGTTTGTTGCAATGATGGGCTGACAGGAAGAAGATCTTCCCTTCTCCATCCTCAACGAGGGATTTGTCGGTCCTACGCCCATTCATGTGATCCAGATGTACCTGGAAGTCTTTGCAACATCTGATGATGTCTCTCGACGCTGGCAGGAGCTATTTGCCATTTTTTGCTTCCAAAGTGAAAAAACTCTTTTTGGTGGATAACCTATTCATAGAAAACTCAGTCCCATGAATTGGTACCATAAAAAAATCACCTGCCGCTGGGAACAGGTTTTTTTTTGAAGATCATGAGGGCGTTCCAGCTCGGAAGAGCTAGTCTGGCTGATGTCCAGATCAGTGGCTGATCTGATCAAGCTCTTGACTGGACTTTTCTGTCCACAGACGCGCTCACATTTGTCCACAATCCAATGGTTGATCATAATTCCTTATTGAAACTTCATTAAAAATATGGTTAATAATGGATCATAATTCACAATCCATGGATATCCATGGATCATAATCCCATTAAAATGGCAAGTCAAAAAAGGCTAATTCCAGGTAATTCCTGTGAAAAATGGGTAACCACTGAGGTTGATGAAGCATACATCTCCCGGCAACCCAAGCCCGACTTTCAATCGGCCTTGCCTTGTGAATCAAGGCAGGAACCCTGGATCTCCATGCTTGGGAAAAACCTAATGAGCTCACAACAACCTAGCCATAAGGGAATTCGGATCCCCGTGGCAATTTCCACTCTAGAACTGGTGAACCTGTGCATAGTTTAATCGATTTTTTTTATGTATTGGAAATTTAAAATTGATGTTAGGCTAGTCATTTTATTGTTGGGGGGTTGGTCTGAGCATTTTATTGGCAAGGTAAATCCTGATGATTTTTAACATGTTAAAATTCCATTCACATTTTATTTCCAAAAAAAGTCTGTTTAACAGGAGCATTTTATTGCAGAATGGAACCAATGTTTTTCCAGGATCTTTTTATATTGATTTTATTGGGCATGTCATTTTAGATCAGCGAATTTTAAGGAATTTGAAGGAATTCTAAGGAATTTTAAGGAATATTAAGGAATTTTAAAGGAATTAAAAGGAATATTAAGGAATTTTAAAGGAATTATAAGGCAATTTAAGGAATTTAGAGAGTTTTAAGGAATTTTAAGGAATCTTAGAGGAATTTGAAGGAATTTGGATGATTTTTAAGGATCTTTAATGTTTTTAAATTTTAAAGGATATTTAAGGAATTTTAAGGAGTTTTTTGGAATGTTGAGGAATTTAAAGGATTTTTAAGGAATTTTAAGGAATTGCCACGAAAGAATGCCACCGTATTTTGTTGCTATGAAATGCTATAAAAAAAGGAAACCACTTAATATTTGGGCACCTTCACTCTGAAATACCCCTATCTAGAAAGAATGTCCTGACCCCTTTTTAAAGAGGCGTTTCTGAGGGTCTTCGAAATTGGATGAAGTTGGATGCAAATTCGGGCATGAATTTGCTGGCAAAGCATTTTATTGCAGAACCAATTTTCATTGTTTTTGTGCATTTAGACCGCTCTAAAATTCCTGCACAGCTTCACATAATGAAATGGAACCCCGATGAATTTGGATGAATTTGGAAAATACGTTGCCCAGATACATCCGTGTACTTTAAGTGGTCTTATTCTTGCGACATACACAGAAGTTGCGCACTCACGGCGTCTGAAAAACAATGGGTGAGGCCAAAACCGAAGGCCATAGAAGAAGAAGCCGGAGCTGGAGTGCTAACCACTGTCCGCCGCTTACAGATAGTAACTGAAGAGCAGGAAACCCAAAAAGGATGGCTTGGAGAGACATGCTGCTCCGGTGATGTCATCCATATAAACATGTGCACGCCTGAAAAGTGAGTTGCAGTGACAGACATTGGTGCCGAGGTTCACTTTTGCTCCCTGAGTGCCCTGAAGCACTCAGATGTGTTTGTTTGACTCAAAAGAATGTGTACTATGATCGCAGTCGGAGATTTTCAACTTGTCAGATGGCTCTGGCTCAATTCATGCACTCCCCAATAACTTAGTAAGGGAGAAACGTGGGTCGATTGGTACCTTATTCTTGAGCCATATCTTGATACCGAGAGCCGAGGTCAGCCTCTAATCCTTTTTTTGAACATTTCACCACTTGGGCCCAAATAAAGAACCAACATTAGGTGATCTCCTAGAAATGATCCGTTTATAGATGATTTACCTCTCAAATATTAGACGACATGGTGATTTTCCATAGCCAGAGGGTCACTCTTCAATTGCCCATTTGCCGACATTTAAGACTGAGGCAGTTTTGAGGGCCTCTCACAACAGCTTGCCGCACAATTGGGTGCCACTGGGGAGTCATGCTTTCGCCAAGAGCTGCAGGAGCTGAAAAGCGGATGTTCTCGTAGAATTTCAAATCATATTGCTATTATTGCTGGTGTTGTGCCTCATTTTCTTGGTTACCTTCTGGTTATTTAACATAGCCATGGAAAATCCCTTATAAATGGATGTTTCTAGCTGGGAAAATCAATGAACATCATCTATTTCTATGGGCCATCTATACCATGGCTATGTTAGTCATAACCAGAGGGTACCTTCTGGTTAAACTTAACAGTTTGCTATGGATGCCATGGCCCATTGGTGATTTAAGTATTGAATCATGATGAAAAACATGATTTACATTGATTTACCTATTCCAAATGACTATTTTTCATAGGCCATGTTAGATAACCAGAGGTTTTTTTTTTCTGTGCCACCCCAAAATTATCTATAGCATTATTGTATATTGACCATCGAGTTCAATATTAGTCGATATATCTCCAGTGGGTTGATCATGATTAACCACCAACCATATTTAGACATTTAGATCCATTAGTAGCACATTCAATATAAATATGAATATGTTCCAATATTAGTAGTATAGATTCAATAACAATCCGAAACCAGCTCCATATAAATTGTTGCAAATTGATCTACCAAAAAGCGCAGGAAGTGAGAAGGCGGTGCCTCATAGCCATGGAGGTGCCAGAATCAGCGCCTCTGATTTAGCGAAGCGCTAAAATCAACATGTTAGCTGGTACGGAATCTTATGAGAGGATTTCTATATCTGATTTTATGAGATTTTTCCCCACCTGCCAGGTGAGGGTTGTTAGATTTTATGTCAGTTGCCTCCTCCTTCTCCTCCTCCTGCTCCTCCTCCTGCTCCTCCTCCTCCTCTCCTCCTCCTCCTCCTCCTCGTCCTCCTCGTCCTCCTCGTCGTCCTCGTCGTCCTTGCTCAACTGCGACCCGCGATCCACAGTGTTCTCTGCCGGACCTCAACCACGACCATCCACGCCCAGTGTTCCCTGCCGGACCTCAACCACGACCATCCACGCCCAGTGTTCCCTGCCGGACCTCAACCACGACCATCCACGCCCAGTGTTCCCTGCCGGACCTCAACCACGACCATCCACGCCCAGTGTTCCCTGCCGGACCTCAACCACGACCATCCACGCCCAGTGTTCCCTGCCGGACCTCAACCGCGAGTATCCCCGCCAAGTGTTCCCTGCCGGACCTCATGTAGTAAGTATATGCAGAAGAAGGGAAAGAATGTCAGAAAGAATGTCAGAAGATATCAGAAGATAATGCCAGATAGAATGCCAGATAGAATGCCAGAATTCGATGAAGAATGTGAATCAGAAGATATGCCAGAAGATATGCCAGATAGAATGCCAGATAGAATGCCAGATAAATGCCAGAATTTGCCAGATAGAATGCGCAAGAAAATATGCCAGAAGATATGCCAGATAGATATGTCAGAAGATATGCCAGAAGATATGCCAGAAGATATGCCAGAAGATATGTCAGAATATATGCCAGAAGATATGTCAGATAGAATGCCAGAAGATATGTCAGAATATATGCCAGAAGATATGCCAGATAGAATGCCAGATTGAATGCCAGAAGATATGTCAGATAGAGTGCCAGAAGATATGCCAGATAGAATGCCAGAAGATTTGCCAGATAGAATGCCAGAAGATATGCCAGAAGATATGCCAGATCATATGCTAGAAGATATGCCAGATAGAATGCCAAATAGAATGTCAGAAGATATGTCAGATAGAATGCCAGAAGATTTGCCAGTAAGAAAATGTATAAATGTCATGGTGGGGATCACACGAAGTAAAGTAATTATGATATTTTATGGTGATTTCAGGACCTAGGAGACTTTACAAGGTTTTAATCCACCAGATTGAGGATCAACAATTCTTGTCTTGCTGGGCCAATGTGTAGCGACGGAAGCCTGGTCGACCTCACTGGAACTGATGGTTCGACTTGGCGATTTGCCCTGATCAATCCAGGAATAAGAAAGGAGAAGCTGTCTAGAACCAAACAGATTTCAGATTGACCTGGAAGTGCAGCTACGCAGGCAGTCGAGGCTGCTATGATGTTTCTTGGCTGAACTACAGGGATACCACAGGGAATCCAACCCCAAAGTGGTAAATGTTGCTACCCCAGAAAAGCAAATCTGTGGCAAATCTGTGGCACACAGTGGCACGCCAAGAGCCAAGGATCTATCACACCTGCGCCGCCATCGAGCCAGATTCCAGCTCCACTGCCCGGCTGAGTAGCTGTCAGGAAGGGAACGGCCGGCACGCATCGCTGGTTGGTGGTCTTGGCCTTGATGAATGAATAGGACAACCATGGATAGTTGGGTGTAAATGTCCACCAAGTGATTTAAGTCGACTTGTGACTGACCATCATCAATTCCCTTGTTTTCAAGCCCAGTTTTTCGGAGCATTTTTGCGGGATCGGCCTGGAAGATCTTGGAAGCACCACCCCGATCCACCCCGGTGCGGTGCCAAACCTGCCCCATAGGAAGCAGCGGGTCTCAAGAAGGAAAACTCCTCAGCGATTCTCTCAGCATGTATGGGGGAAGAGGCCATCGTGCAAGTCTCCTTTTCGGGGCACCACAGGGGATTTTGAACAGCAGCTGACCCCCAATATGATTTATATACGTAGTTATATAATCTATGTTAATCTATTATTGTCATTTATTGTGATCCATTGTCATTAGATAATTATGATATATGTTATACATATTTAATATAACTATACATGCATATATATACATGTATGTATGTAATGCAATGTAATGCAATGTAATGCAATGTAATGCAATGTAATGCAATGTAATTTAATGTAATATATACATGCACAAATACTATCCCGATACTGTCTTGGCCAAAGAGTCTAAGAGGACGATGTGCAAACACATTAACAAAAAGCCACTGAAAGTGTGCCCCGAAATTCTTGCGGCACAATTTTCGAGTTGTTGATTTCCGATGTATATATACTGTAATATACTGTATATATATATTAACATATCAATATATTGTTAACTTATATATATATATATATACACACATACATCTTATATATATATATAATTAAATTAAATTATATATTATATATAATTATATATATTATATATATATATATCTGTATACACATTGACACAATATCATGTAGCTTGTATTACATATCTACTTCTTCAAAATGTGCTCCCGCTTCAGGGCCCAGAGGCCTTCGCCGCCCTGCAGACCGTCTTTGCAGCAGCTGGAGCGGAAGCGGGCAGCATTGACGCCAAGGTCTGAAGTCTTAGGGATTGGAATAATCAAAATGTGGGATTTGACATTATTTAGTGGGGGTTAGTAGGATTAGTAGGTTTTAATGGGTTTTAATTGGATCAATAATCAATATATAATAATCTTGGATTCTCAAGCAATAATGCGAATATAAGAGACATATTCATGGTGATGTTAGAATACAAACGGGATGAGTTAAATGGTTGGGGATCTAATGGTACATCAATTACGCCAACGACATGATGGAAAAACGTCTGAAAGTGGAGGATTGACCAATGATTGACCCGAACAAATTATGGCAGTTTTTCATTATAGGGAAAGTGATGATCAATAGTTTTTCATGATAGGGAATTTATGGCAGTTTAATGATACCAGTTCCCATAGGATCCATGTATGGTATATATGCCAACATTTGGGGTATATTGATGGTAAATGTTAGCATATATAGCATACATGGATCCTATGGGGTTTAATAATAATCATTATTATTTTTGGTCAAACCGGTCAAAGCCCATTTTCAGACAGACCCAACTCTGAAAAGTGCCGATGGCGAATGAATCGTGAAAAGGACAGTCCCAGAGGCTGAGGCATATCAGAACAAGCTGAGTCATTGACCAATCACCCAAGTGAATGTAGGCCGGAACCTACCAAATGCGAATTTATCTGATGAACAGAACATCCTCTTTTAATCTCTTTTAATAGTTTTGATGGTGCAAGGGGGGGGCACGAGACACGGTTTTGACACCTCAAAAGTTGCCAAACCACGGCTGAGAGCTGCCAAATGTCCGCCGCATGGGAGGTACTAAAAACGAGGGCTAACCATTTGCGATGTGCCCGTGTGGCGGCGCTGGTCAGGCGATTTCCCGGGGCTTTAGGGTCTGTTTCTCTATCTTAAGTTACCCGGTAGTGAGAATCGAATTTATGGAAATCGATGGTTTACATATCTCATTCACGTCAATTCAATCATTCAATGGATTTAATGGGAAAATCTATGGTTTTCTGTAGATTTTCCCTTAAACCAATCCATTGAATCATCCATTTATGGATGTTTATGGATGTTTTTCATGGAGGACCGCAGGGTAGACACCCTGAGTTCCGCACCAAGGCCTGCTGAAAATAACATCCCAATGGAGGTGCCTTTAGACTGCCTCTCGCACCCCTTCAAGGCCGACTTGGAAAAAATGCCATGCAAGGATTGTTTTTTTGGTTTATGTCATGTTGCTGATGGCTACTGTTGTACTACCCCCTGGTAATTTGTTACATAGCTATTGAAACTGGCCATAGAAATAGTGGACTATTGAAAATGGCCATTGAAATAGTGGATTTTCCCATTAAAAATGGTGGATCTTTCCATAGTTATGTAAACGTTTACCAGGCCGGGTATTTGCTTGCTGGAGATCCCCGGGACCCCCGCGACCCCGGGGACCCGGTCGACTCGTGGCTTAAGGCGAGCTTTTACAGAGACCTTGCACGGCACTTCGCCGAGCTCCCATGGATCAGCTTAAGGCGATCAACCATGGGGGAAATATGGAAAATGGGGCTGTCCAAACACAGGGTATACATGGGTATACTATATCACTATATGGTATACTTGGTGGTTCACCCCATGGCAAGTAGATTAATTATACCCTCAAAATAATTGTGCGTGGACTTAAGCCCTACTTTCCGAAGTTGTAACCAGGTCTTTAACACACTTACTGCACCTCTTGTGAGCCTATTTGACTATAGGATCTCGGGTTGGCGAATCCAGTTGTTGCTGGTAGGCATCCTTTTTTGCCTTACTACGACAGATCGGTCTTTGTGGATTTTGTCTCTTGGATGGCCACTAGTGTTTTTCTGCTTCAGATCAAAACTTGCAAACTGGTTTCAAGGATCTTGTTCCAAGGCTAGTTGTGATGATGATCCCAAATGCACCATATTTTTGGATGTGATGAACACAATCAAGAGTTCAAACACATTTCAATCGAGGCACAATCAATTCCAACTTGGGTGTCGTGGTTGTTCGAGTTGCTTGGCTGACCAGAGCAATCAGAACTGATGCATCAAGAACGATGAACTTGCTACATCTTTGCCAGGTGGATTGTACAAGATTGTACATATATACTATTCTTCTTGGACTATTTCTGGTATAGCCTAGGCTATACCAGGTTGGGTGGACTATAAAGTGGTTCTGCTCGACCATAACCCCAGGGACGGTTCCAGGAAGACCCTCTCGCCTATGCTGGGATATCACTTGGTGGCTTCTCTCCATCGAAAATCGCGGCCATGGAGGTCTTAATGCACTGGCCATAATAAATGAATTTATCACTTCAAAACTAAGCCTCTGGTAAACAAACAGTTTGCTATTGAAAATGGCCATAGAAACAGTGGATCTACCTATTAAAAATTGTGATTTTCCATAGTTTTCTGTAAACGTTTACCAGAGCGTAAGCCTTGGTTGTGTGGATTAATGTTCCCATCCATAGTGGATAAAAAACACTGAAAAAACATTGCACGCATGATAATCTGCTTGGTGGTTTCAAACATTAGTTTTGTATGGGGTAATGATGGTTAATGATGGTTAATGATGGTTAATGATGGTTAATAATGGTTAATAATGGTTAATAATCACTGCTTGGTGGTTTCAAACATGGCTTTTATTTTCCATTTCATATATGGGATGTCATCCTTTCCATTGACGAAGTCCATCATTTTTCGAGATGAGCACATTGCACCACAAAAACCAGTAATGTTTGGATGTCATCAAGGCTTTCTCTCACTCCACATTGTTGTCCCAAACGCCCAAAAACCAGGAAACATACGTGTCGACGATCAAACCAGGAAGACCTGGCTGAACAAAGCAGGAAAATTCCCGGTTTTTGTCCCAGAAAAAAACCCGGTTTTTGGGCTTCTTGCGAACGACGTCTTCACAGATATGGTCCATGGAATAATTTCATGATAATCATTTCACATATAATATAATTATAAATTATATAATATATCATCATATTGATTAACATTGCAGTTTTTTCTGCAATTGCTTCAGGTTTTGGTACTTCTACGACAACATTTTCTTGCCGATGTTTCGAAGCTTGCCGCTGATCATGGGACCTTCGCTGATGACGCTTTCGACGGTCCCGTATCTCCCAACCAATTAGGATGGAACATGTGTTTCGCAATCATGATTAGTTTCCCTGAGTTGTCTCAAACAACCCAGTCGTATGCGACTGGGTATTTCTGCCAATGCTGGATAACCAAAACCATGCGTTTCAATACTAGAATTAATTTTTAGATTCACTGATTTTGGATGATTTGGGGGGTACCCCAAGTTTAAGGTAGATAGGCTACCCTCTGGGAAATAGACACAAATAAAGTTGATTTACCCATTAAAAATGATGGTTTTCCATAGTTATGTAAACGTAGAAACCAGAGGATATTGACCATTCTTAACCAACAATCATCAAGTTTATCATCAAATATCAATGTTATTGACTAACATTATCATTAAAAATCATTATTTAACCATCAAGTCTATTTTCCATGCATCCCATTCCTGGGACCTCTAAGGAGCAGAGCATGCCTGGGGTTCGCAGCTCGCGCCACTCTTCCGGCTGCCACCGTGGGCTGTTCCCCGTGGCGTGGACCAACGGCAGGTGCCCGGGGCTGCCGGGGCCCGGGATCATGGGTTCCATCTGGTTCCATGGGGGAGCCCCGAAAAATCGCTGGATGGTTGGGATAGCATCCTCCAATTTGGAGGTGGAAAATTCATTGGATTTGATCCATCCATGTTGCCCAAAATTGATGGTTTATTTCATGGAAAAATGATCTAGAAATGAGAACTGGAGGTACACCCATGACTCAGGAAACCTCCAAATGATGACAAATGTGGGTGTGTGTTCCAGGTTTTTCCAAGCAGATTCCCAATATTCAGGGTGATGTTTTGTTCCTGCACGGCTAAGCTCGTCGTGGAGCACCTAGTGGAGATGCTGTCGAGCAGGCGAGGACACATGACATCCACATTTCAAGGCCTGTTGTCACTAAGAGTTGAGAGCTTCTGGCAGTTGCTGGGAATATTTGGGGATATTTATTTCGGCGGGAATAATTTATGAATTGTGTGGGTTCTTTTGGTTTTGGGATGTTTTGGGTCATGGGACTTTTCTGGCTGTACAGTGCATAGAGTCATGGAGGATTAAAAGACGCCTTTTGCAAGGACAGACTGGAAGCAGGTTGCCATGGCTGAGGCAGTCCGTGTTTCCTCGGGAACTTTGAGTGTTGAAAATGGTGTGGCGAATTTTGTCAACGTCAAAATTCAACTTTCAGGAGTCAGCAACACCAGTGTTCATAAGATTGTCATTCCAGGAAAAGAAAACATGTCATATCAACTCACGAAAAACATCAATGAAAAGCCCTGGGAAGTTTCAGATCTGCACGTTTGATGGCCCCATCTGGGTAGGTTGGTGTTTTCATGGGTGATACATCAGCAGCACTGCTGACCAAACGGCTTCCCCTGGAAGCAGCCACTGGGCAGCAGCGATCTCTTGCTCCGATCAGCTGATAGCAGCTGCATTGCAGCTGCATCGGTCGCAGCATCTGAGGTACACTTAGTCGATCCTTGGGATGGCAACCCCGTCTTTCAGGTGCAGCGGCTTGTGGGGCTTGCCAAAGGTCCAACCAATGCTGACGCCAAGAATCCAAGGGCAAGCATCAAAAATCATCAACATGTATAGCCATTATTTTTTGGGAAAAACCAATCCCCAATAGTCATCAATCATCATGATTATTGATACGTATATACGTAATTATACGTATATATATATATATATATATTATTTATTCTTATATGCATTCATATACTATTTCATATATCATATAAATAGAATTAAACAGAACATACATTTATATGATCACATGTACCAATTGTTTATATGCATATATATATATTATTCTATACCATTGTTCTTGTTCTTCCCAATTTTTCGTGATCCAGGTCAGTCTGAATGAAAAGCGGCACTTGGGCGAGGTGACTGGCGCAGAGGTGCAGTGTGACCGTGACGAAACGGAGTTGGGACCATGCGTGGAGAAGTATCACATCCCACCAACTGAGATTATTATATACTGGATATGGATATAGTGTATATAGTATCATGGTTAATAATGGTTAATAATGGTTAATAATGGTTAATCATGGTTAATAATGGTTAATAATGGCTAATAATGGTTAATAATGGTTAATAATGGATAATAATGGTTAATAATGGATAATAATGGATATTAGATAATATAATTTATACTGGTTGGTGGTTTGGAACATGAATGTTATTTTTCCATATATTGGGAAGCCACCCAAATAGCATCATAATGTAATACATTATGCTAATGTGGATTTGAGTGAATGCTATTTGATCGCTATTCTTGTTTATTTTTAATGCTATGTTCTTGTGAAAAGCCAAGGGACGCCAGGGTCAATTTGTTACCCACACCCAGACCTTGTGGCAGGCCCGGAAGCGTGTGGAGCAACGTTTCGCAGCCTTGGCTGCGCAGTGGCCCAAGACTTCTGTTGAAGTTATCTACGAGCGATAGCTCGTGTTTTCATGATTATTCATGATCATTGATATCATTGGAACTATCCAACTATTATGCGGTGTTTTTTTTAATCTTTGCCTCATAGTTCAGGAGGTACGAGGTCCTCGTCCCGTGTCGCGCCTCTTCGTCCTGAGGACCTACTGTTTTGATGGACGTGCCGCTACTCATCGCTCCTATCAGGCATCAACTGATCTGACATATCATTGTTTTTTTGCTGGAACGATGAGATATGATGAGATGTTTAGAACTACTGATTCTCTTTTTCTTCGATGAGATGGTCATGATGATGTGTGCGGTGTGCCCTTGAAAAAACATCCGAAAGTGTCTGAACACTTGGACTACTCGATTGAATTCGCTCGAAAGAGTTCGGTCTGTGGATGCTTTTTTTTTTCCTGTTTCTCCTACACACTTTGCTCGCAATCATCATTGGTAGGATTGACCAAAGGGCCAATCATTGCCATACCAGGGCCGAGCTGTACCCCGCACGGGCCCATGGCCAGCCGAACGATGTGGAAATCTTGAGGAGCCCACAGAAGCTGCGTTTTTTTCACGGACAACTCACGACATGTCGACTGCCAAAGCGAGGACAAGCCAGGCACTCCACGAGTCACCAAGCCAAAGAAGTGCTTCTGGACAGTGCGGTTGTAGCAGTCATACATCTCCACTGTGAGGGATTATGATATATCAATATAATTCAATATAATTCAACATATATATATATATATTCAATTAATATCATTATTGCTGAGTTCAGCGAGCAAGTTGCCTGCATTCTTCTCAGATTTTTTGTCCGCTGACCATGTTGATATGTGCGGAAATTCAGGTAGGCATCCATGCCACTGGATCTGTTGCTGCCAGCAAGCGCCATGACCTTAGTTATCTTAGTTGTCCATCACCATGTTTCAGCCCAAGTCACTTGCAGCCGAGGTATCCTTGGTGGATCACTTGACCTTGTCTTTATCGATGGAGCTCATGACTATGAGTCAGTCTCACAGGACATCCAATTGACATTGCATCTGGGTGTGTCTGAAAATGGGTATACAAAATGATGGTTGTTGATGATTGTAGCCTCTTTCTCAGACAAAGCAATCTCAATTATCTCAATGCCAGCAGTTGCTTTGAGAAATTCTGCTGTGATTGGGTGTCATTTCTGATGACCTGGGGCTGCTTATAGCCACTACTTGCTGCCTAGCCTCAAGCCATGGCGCTTCCAGTCCAAATTGAATAGCAACAGCAACGCACACGAAGATGAGAAGAACAGCTCAAGACCTGTAGCATCTTTTGGTGCCTCCAAAGGCTGAAAACATACATTGCTAATTGATGCTAGTTGATCATGACATAATTTAAGTATATTTGTTTGTCTCCTCAAAAATGGATCCGCCATGCGCTGGAGGAAGCTTCACAGGTTGACTTTGAGCATTTTGATTCACAGGTTGCTGTCACCAGAATTGTCCTTTGAGACGATGGTGGCGGTGGGACTGGTGGGATTGGCCCCGAGGCCGCCTCGGCCCTCTGTCTTCGGCCGATGCTTCCGGCGTCCGCGGACGCGTCGGGGCGGCAGGGCCGTACCGTTCACGGTGAAAGATGTGAAAGTGAAGCAGAGAAATGCAGCAAGAGATGCCCCAGATCTGCAGGAAGATGTGGAAGTGATGGGAGTGAAAGATGGTGTGGCGGTGATTGCTGGTAGTGCCCTTGGGGGAGGTTTCCTGGCACTTCCTTTGGTGACGGCGCCCTTGGGGATTCTACCATCACTGGTTGGCTTGGGAATGGCTTGGGCATTTATTGCAGCATTGTGCACCGTCTATGCAGAAGTATCAGCTCAGACCCTAACAGACAAGGCTCTTGAGGCAGTTCAAGGTCGTGAAGATCGACCTATGTTGGAGCAAGAAGGGGTGTCCATCGTATCGGTGGCCCAACGCAGATTGGGAGACTCTGCAGCAGTGGTTTGCTCCGTGGCGTTTCTGTTTCAGATGCTGGCAGTTGTCACTGCTCAAGTCGCGAAGTCTGGGGAGTTGCTGGAGAGTTTGATGGGTTTGCCTTACGTTGGAGGTTGCATTCTTCCCAGCATCTTTCTGGGCCTCTTTACCTTCGAGATGCCTGTGAAACTGGTGGAGCAAACAAACACCATCCTGACTGCCCTGATGGTCATTGGTTTTGCTCTCTTAGTGGTGAATTCCTGCATGACCATCAGCTTTGCGGAGCTTCCAGAACTCATCAGCAACTTACCCAGGGAAAATTGGAAACCGCTCCTTCCAGCTGCTGGCACCACAACTTGGGCATTGCCAATCTTCTTCAATTTGCTCTGCTATGGCCAATCAGTTCCACTGGTGGTTGAAAGAATGGGCGCTCAGAGATCCTCAAAGATCCGCAACACCATTTTGCTCGGATCCGTGATTCCATTGATCCTTGGAATCATTTGGGTGTGCGTTGCTGCGTTGCTGGGCTCACGTTTGAACCTGGATGGAGCGGAAGATCCAGTGCTCCAACTGGTGCATGGGCCCTGGAGCATTGCTCTTCCGGTGTTATTGTTGGCCGCTGGGGCCATCGGCACCACCCTCATCGCATCATACTTGGCTTTGGGCCAATTTGCTGCTGATGCCTTGTGCGCAGCCACGGGTTCCTGTTCCTTGGAGGACAACCAACGGGCCAAAGTAGCCTCAGTTATGCTACCAGCTCTGACCGCCTGTATCGGCCCTCAGCTCTATTTGCCACTCCTCTCTTTTGCGGGTGCGTTTCCATCTGTGCTGCTCTATGGCGTTTTGCCACCAGTAGCCTTGCTTCTTTCACGCTCACCAAAGAAGCTTCCAGGTCGGGATCTGTTGGGAACTGTGTTGGGGTTGGGATGATGTTTTGCTGGAAATCAGAGTAGATTTCCCCATGTTTCGCTACGAATGTTTCGCAAAACATGTTTCGCTATGTTTAACCATGTTTCAGCTGTTTGGCAGAGTTCTCCACCTAAACCAAACATCGCTATGTTGATTGATTTCTGATCACCATGCGAGGCCAAGAACCGGTACTTGTCGGGTTGGCAGTCACTGCCGTTCTGTTTCTTTGCTGCAAGTTTCGTCAACTTATAAGATCGACAGGATCAAACACACCTTTGTTGCAGAATAGTGATAATAGTCTTAGTAATAGTATAGGAAATACTAAGGTATATTATATTATATATATGATTAAATTATAATTCGCAGAAGCTGATATTATGTTGGTATCCTAAATAAACAGAGGCCATCCTGCCGAAACAGCAATCGTGAAGCATGAAATGACAACAACCGGAGTGCCAGACTCAGGCCACCATGTACTCTTCGGCATGTGGGTGTGTTGGATACCTCAAAATAACCATGTATATATATACGTGTATATATATGTGTATAATATATATGTGTATATATATATGTATATGTATATATGTATATATATATATGTATATATATATATATATTTACATTTATTATTATTATCATATTATTATTATCATTATTATTATCATTATTATTATATATATACTATATATTTGCAGGGGTATGATGATAAGCCCCAAATTTGCTGCCCCCATTAGCAATTTGATTTGGGACAATGAGGGATAGCCTGTGTCCGCCTGGATGCAGCTGTGTTGAGGTTTCTGCTCGTCAACTTGTGGCTCTGGCTGACTGCAGTCTGAGTTCCAACATGTTCCAGTTATTGTTTCATATTGTTTAACTAATCAATCACTGGTTGGTGGTTTAGAATTAGAATGTGATAATTATATATAAGATGTTGTATGTTCAACCCGATTCAACCCTTTTGAAATCCCAATTGACCAGCATATGGATTGAAACCACCAATCAGATCATAGTTGCAATCGATCTCAATACATCTAAATTAATCATGGCTCAAGTCGCAAAGAAATAGTGCCACTTGTGCATCTTCCTTCATCCTAGCTGCGGATCAACGAAAAACCGCACAGCTGAGATGAATGTCCATTCTGCGAAAGCATCATGGGCGGGTGATAGTTGACCACAACATGTCCAAACGTGTCGCCTTGAGAAAAAGTGGGGTCGGCCCTTTTCAAAGCTTCAGGATGTTTTCGGAGCTACACTGAAGCCACCCCAACGAACATGCTTTTTTTTTTTGAATAAATGCCTAAACTGAACTATGATGGGTTAAAGTTTCAGACCAGGGAAACACAGATATATTGGTGACCTTCACATTTTACCATCACGTCTCTTGGGAGTACGCAATAAGTCGACCCATAGCTGTGTACAGCTAGTTCTGGAATGCTTTGAGGTTTGTGGTTATACAAGTGATACAACCTATACAGCCAAAAAAACGCCTACACAGCCTATCCAATTAGCACTGTCCATAGGGCACCACAAGACCTTGTGTTTTATCATGTTTCCCGTTGTGTTTCCCACTGTTTTCAAACACCATTTTCATCAATAGCTGGGTCAAAAACCCCAGCCACAACGATGGCCCCCCAGGATCTCAAGGCATGGTGGCCCAAACTTCGCCCTGGTGGGGTGATGGCAGGCGATTCTTGGGACCGCAGGGACCGCAGGGACCGCAGGGATAGGGAGCGCAACATCTTGGGAACGACCTCGCGTGCAGGACATGACTTTTCGATGTCGTTCCCAGGGCTCATGCGTTTGCGCCTCAGTTGCGACTCAAGACGTCTTGAGGTCAGAAGGACAAACACACAACTTAAAAATGAGCCTTCAACAGTTCAACATCCTGAGACAACTGTTAAGTCTATGGCACTTTTTCATGCTTACCTGGATGTTTGCAACTGGAGTAAGTATGTTGACGACTTGAGAACTCCCGGCCCAGGAGCTGTTTTGGAGTTTGTCTCGTTGCTCCCAGGGCGGACCGAGGCGAAAATTGGGAATGGATGAACATTCCCATACCTAGAGACTCGAGCGGCATCAAAATTTTGATGCTGGTCTAGCAAAACAGTGTTTCATCTGATTGCCGCTGAAATTTCTGGCATGCGCCGTTATTTGGGAAGCAAATATGGTTTTAGATTTGGTGTTGGAATGCGCCGTTTTTGCCAATGATTGCACCGTTTTTGCCCGTGATTGCGCCGTCCTTGCCCGTGCAGAATTTCCATTGCGCCGTTTTTGTGGAATTGCGCCATGTTTTCTACATTGCGCCATTCTTGTGGACTTGCGCCTGATTTTTTTGTAGGTTGGGAATGCGCCCGAAATTTTGGATACATGAGTCTCTAGGTATGCTCCATGTATGGAATATTTACCATCATTTACCCCATAAATGGCCCAAATGTAGGTAAATATACTATACATGGAGCATATGGGATTGTGTATAATTACCTCGTTACGAGTGCCCTCCCATTCTTCAAGCCCTTGAATAGCCGCATAGCCCTTGAATACTCGTCACGAATGGCTCAGGTTTACCTGGACACTGACTACAGCTTTTGGTTCTTTAAGCCGGAGGACGTTAGCAAATGGCACGCGCTGAAGCCTCAAAGACTGGAATAGCAAGCCAATTGAGTCAATTGAGCAGTTTCAAGCGTGTCTTTTGATGATTTTGGGGGTTACACTGGGAATCCCCAGTAGGTTACAGTAGGTTTTTGATACTGCTCTGTTTTGTAAAGCAGCATTTGGAAGCCTTGAGTGTTTGCTCAGACTTTATCGGATGCTGTGGTTGCTACTTTGTCATTGATTTTGAACGTTCCCCCTTCAGCTTCTCTTGACATATTTTTTCTTCCTATGTGCTGCTCCTGCTCCCTCAGGAGTTAATCTCCCGGCTCTAAACATCAGGACTCATGACCATAACATGCTGTAGGGGTTATAGTTATATCATGTTATACATATATAATAATATATATATATATATACACATACATATTCATAATATATGAGCAACCGTAAAAACCCCGGCAATACTAAATATGTATTCGACGGACATTGGCTTATGGAAATTGATGGAACTTGTTAAAAACACGAGGTAAGCGATGGGACCTTCCCAAATTAGCGATACCCCTTTTCAAGGTTATGTCCTCATATTTCTCTAATATCCACATTAGCGATACCCAAATATCACATATTATTCATAGTTCATCATATATATTTATATATATAAATACAGCAGTTTCCTGCAAGCGATACCCCCCAAGTTCACCATATATCATTATTGTACAAACGTGTGGTAAGCGATGGGACCTTCCCAAATTTGTGAATGTCCTTTCCGTGAACCTAGGGTTTTCACAATCGCTCATATATATATATACATATTCATAAAATACATTATATATATTCATTATATATAATAATATAATAATATATATATATTTACATATACATATTCATAATATATATATATATATATATCATGGTTCCCTATGATCCCAATATATCCCAATTGATGCGGAATATTTCACCATGGTGAAAAACCATGGTGAAAAACCATGGTAGCCATCAGTTTTTCCCCCCCCTTCGTTCGGGATCCGCCTCAAGGTCTTGGAGGCCGCGATTGGAGGGTGGAACGCGAGGACACAAAGCAAGAGCACGAGTTTCCTAAGCCACGGAGGCTTCGAAAACGGCTAGGTGAAACAACCAGGCATAGCATTGCTGATTTAGCTGATTTAGCTGATTTAGCTGGAGTTGTGCCGAGTCAGACTCGCAACAACTGGATGCAAAAAAATGAGAAGTTGCATGCCTTCCGTGTGGTGCATCAACGGGTTGAATTCATTCGCCAGATTCCTTTTGTACGGCCACTTTGGGCGCCGCTTTGGTCAAGTGGAGAAGTTTGCACAGCCACTATTATTGGCGTTGGTCTGCTTCATTTTGGTCCCCCCATGCAATGAAAGTGCACACAAACATGTTTGTTTTTCTTGCTGGCACGTATGCTCAAAGGAGCAAGTCGGAATAGCAAACAGTATACGGTTGAGCAACGGAGCAAGCAATCGTTCTTCGAAAGAACATGTTACAATTGCACTCCCAGAAAGATCAGTGACAACATGTGACAAGCGCATGACACGAATTTTTTTGGCATGGAACCTTGATGTTCTGAACCGATAAAGATTGCTCAAATCAGCTCGGAGACAAGGGAGGCAGGCTACTCCAAGTCTGCCTCATTTCTGATTTTTGACCAATCCCACCACCCTGGATGAGCTTTTGCTATCTGCAGGGCATGCCAAACTTTGCAGACTTTGTGGAGGCGCATCAGTGCAATGCAAAGATCGCAACACATCATTAAAAAATCATCGAGTTGGTGAATGATTGCAGGAGCTTGGCTCGGAAGAAGAGGCTTGACAGCAGAGCCATCGCAGAATGATCGCGACATTTGTTCTCTCAATTTGTTCAGTTGTTGTCGTTTTTTCATGTTTTTTTTCCTTCAACTGTGTCAACACCTATTCAATATTATTCAATCATATATATATGGTCCCGTCCTCCGTCCCTCCACCCCCCCCCTCCCCCCCCCCAGCCCCAATTGCCCCCTTGCTATTTAGCAAGCTATTGGCAGCATTTCTAGGCCTGCGTATTTGCTAGGTCTTTCAGCATTTCTGACTACCAGCCTCGCATTTACTATATAGGTACATGCTACCTTTTTAAGCGACCTACGTAGCACACATACTCCTTCAAAGTACCTACGTGCTACCTATAGTCATATATACATGTGCTATGTATATACTGTATCTACTTGCTATTTACTACCTGTGTACTCTGACAACACTACCCGTGTTTAACATATACCGTACCTACCATACATGTCACTGATGCCATGCATACCATACCTATCATATCTATCATATCTATCATACATACCACACATACCATACATATGAAATGTAATTACCACACCTACCATACATACAATAGCAAACATACATGCCATACATACCATACCTACCTTACATAGGAAATATTCCAGACCCATCATAGTAATCATACATACCATACAGACCATACATACTGTCATATCAAACATACCCATACCAACAGACTTACATACCATACCTACCATCCATACATACCAGCCACTCATGCCATACATACCATACCTACCATACATACCAAACATACCATAACTTTCCAAACATGCCATACCAGACCGACCATACACACCATACATTATACAACATACCATACCACACCCCCACCACACCACCAGGGGGGGGGGGGAGGGGGACAGTGCCACACCACCACCACACCACACGGGGGGGAGGGGGAAGATCTCATATGGGCCCAGTATGTGGGACCATCCCATGGGGGGGGAGGGGAAGGGGGGGGGTGGCAGGGCTGGTGCATATATATATATATATCATTGTATATGTATATATATATATATATATACCAGGGTCTTCCAAAGCTACTTAAATTTCAGGTACGACAAATTTCAGGTACGAACTCAGATTTCCAGCACGTTTGGGAAAAACCGCTCGTTTGTGCAAAAAAAGGACGTGGCTTTCCACTTTGTTTCCCCAAATCTCATTTATCCCTTGTTTTAATGATTTGTCCCTAGCCAGCCACCAGCTCCACACCTATGAGGGCCTAAGTTGTAGGCTGGTGCGCCTGCCATTTTCCAACTCACCGCAGCCAATGCTTTGCGCACACACATCCGCATCGAGCTCTCCAACTGATTGGAGAGGCTGGGCACCCCAGACACTTACGGGTCAGGGGGCGGGGGACCACTAAAATTTCTTTGAAAATGACGACGGTAGCTCATAAGGCTTCTTGTGATGACACGGGTTACCACCAGACGGGGTGACCCAACTCTTCTACTCAAACGAGCTATACGGCCAACGTAATCCTCGTCACTCCAGCATGACCAGCCTCACATCCACGGCTGCAAGCACTGAGAAAGGAAGTCAAAAGTGAAAGAGATAGCAAAAATGTCCAGGCCCGTAAAGCCATCTCCGCAAGTATTCTAGAAACTATAGGCTTTATTTAATCAAGAAACTGCAGGGATTTTGGATGTGCTCCATGCCACCAGCAACTTGTCGGTCAAGGTCCTTCCTTGGTATTGGCCGTGGAAGGAAGAAGCACAACCCCAGCACCACAAATGCAGCACAAAAGGACACCCACAATCTTAGACAAGACTCACAACATGGGTCCACATGTGCAACTTTGGGCGAACCCGATACATTCTCCAGCCACGCTCTGCAGACAAACTAGCAAGGGCAGCATAGCCATCCTAAGGGCACAGCAAGCAGGATGAGCAAAAAGTCAAAAGGCATCATTAACAAACCCACACCTCTAATAAAAACATATTTTCTCTAGCAAGGCGCAATGGCTTTGTATCCATTGGCCACCACAACCTTCGCAGTATCAACTGACAACCAAATACCTCCACGGTAAAGCATACTGAAGAACGAGTTGGTGGCAACCATGGTCCACCGGAGCACTTCAAGGAAGTCAGCATCTTCCTTCACCTAAAGAGCTTAAAGCTTGCAACAGCGTGGGAATCAAGGGACAGCTGCTTGCATATTATGTGCAGCATAGTGGCAGGTGGACGCTGTACAGATCCTAGAAAATGCCCCAGCCACTTGCAGAACAGGGTGACATCATGGGCTTTGGAAACTCCCCGGGGATAGGCGTTGTTCCTGAGCAAGATACATAAACCACACCGAAGCAGTTGCTAGAAACGAACCCCAAAATGGCCAATCTCCCACAAAAACAAAAAAGATAGGAGTATGGATGTTTCTCCAAGGAACGACTTCATATGAAACTTCTTTTTTTCAAACGACTTTGTGCTCACTGTCTTCTTGTTGAGTTTGCACCAACATGCAAAAGTTTCGTAAGCATGATCCAATCGACTTGGAAGCCCCCTCCCACGAAACTGGCCTAGGTTGCACAAAGCAATAATAGAGCTAGCCGAAAGGTCACCCCCGACACCAAGGTTGAAGGTGTGCATCAGGTCTGTTTTGATGCAGGTTGTCCCTCCACCTGGAACATCAAGAAACGGGCTCCTCGCATCTGTTTTGAATGGGCATGGGGGTTCTCCCTCAAAGGTGCGAGCTTGGCCAGAAGCACCAACATTCCACCACTCCTTTGTAGCGGCAGCATGGAATGCAGAACATTGAAAATATATAACAAGAAAACACACCTTGTTGGAAAACAGTACAAGATATAATGCAGATTTCTTCAGATGGACAGTAGTGACAAATTCGACGGGACCGGAATCCAGTTTTCAATGCCATGCATTTTCGAAGCCATGGCCAATCCCCTTTGATGGCCACCAGCACAGCAAAGAAAGTCTGGCGGGAGGTCTCGTCAACCTAGGAAACTGCGTGCAGATGAAAAGGACAAACTCACAAGCATGCCAAAAAAGGAAAGACATGCCCATGTAACATCCCCCTGCTAAAGCCACAATCAAGCAACCTGGATTTCAACACCTTCATGAAACAATTTCTCCAAGTCTTTGCACAACGCCTCTGACAGGCCAAAGATGCTAGCATCCTTTGGCGCATACCAAGTTGCAGGCATCAGGGAAGCAAGGAGCCGCGTAGTGAACGAATGCCTGAGATTTTGGAAGGCACCTAAAGGCCATAAGCGCGATCCCTTTCCAGACTAGTAAATGCGCATGCAATCCACATCTCAAAAAAAATATGCCATCTTGGCAAGAGTCTTTTTGATGTTCAAAGTCCGATTGTGGGGTATAACAACTTGGTAGCTGCAAATCAAGACAGGGACTTTGTTCAGGCCCCTCCCTTCATCGCCATGCACTGCGATTGGTATAGCCCTCCGTCTGTCATTGACGGACTTGTCTTGAAAGATGGGGTGGTGGGGCTCAATGGCCCTAAACTTGTTCCAGTAATCCTCCAGCATATCCCCATAGGCATGACATTGGCCCAGCAAATGACCACCCAAGAAGAAATGAGGGTACGATGGAAGGATACTCTCCATCCAGGAAGACAAAGCGATGAAGGGGTAATCAACCAACTCCTGCTTCGAGATTCGTCGACCAGATTTGTTGGGGATCTTCTTCTTGATTGGAAATCTAGCTTTCGAAATCTTTACAGGGAAGACCTTCTCATCTCTGTGGACATACCGGTGAAAGTCCCGCGAAGCGTTGTTGCTCCGTTTGCCCGTCTTGGACCGCCGGTACCGAGCTAGCTTTTCCAACTCTGGGTCCACCACACCTAGCATTGTAGATTGGTCCCTTCCCCCATTACTATCGCACCAAGAGTTTCACAGGAGAGATTTGTTCTGCTTAAGACATCAGCCATGAAAGGTTTGAATGACTAAAATCCTGCCTAGCTTTGCCATTCTCTTTGATGCAATTTTTGCCATTTTGATCACCGCTGTTGCAGTGGCAGCCTGGGATAGAGTAAGGCATGGCCGTTGGATTGCTTAAACATGCAGTAACCACATTTTTTGTTTGGAAATTTGCTTGCACCAATCAACGTCTAGTAACCCCATCCTCTGCTTGGTGTAAAAATTCATCAGCCAAGTCATCCGAAGAAGATGAAGATAATGATGGCGCTTTTTCGCCTGGACCAGAAGCCAATTGGTTATGTTTTTTTAGGCATGCCACTTTTGGAAGGGAACCTCCATTTGATTTTTTGCATTTTTAATGTTGAATAGACCAAGGGTTTCAAGTGGTGTTTTTTTAATGTCAATTAGGAATGGGCTGTGGGCCTTTTCTCCGTCCAAGGCCCGGCCTTTGTCCACATCATTCTGCAGAAGTTCACCGGTGAGGCCTGCGCAGGGGCCAGAGAAATGAGCACACGACCTAAATTTTCAGGTCCCATGATTGGGTCTTGTGTGGCAAATTCCACTTTGAGGGAAACCAGAAACTTTATCCTGAACAAATATATTCCATTTATTTATCTAGATTTTTAAGGGGGCTCATCTCCAACACAGCTGGCTCCTGACCAATTGGAACATCCATTTTCATCCTGCAAGCTGACATGTGGTCCATTCCACGCTACTGGCTGCGTCGATCCGCGCAGCTGGCACAGCCGTGGCAAATCCCCAAAGATCAAATTATGATCAAAATACCCTGGAAACTCCTAAGGTTGACGCAGGCACTGTTTTTCACAAAAAATAAAGCACCAACAATACTAAGAAGTTCAAAATTGCATGGTTTAGGAGTCACCTGATTGCAGTACGCACCTGCGCCAAAGAGAAAATATATGTGATCACTCCCACTTGCGCTTCTTGCTTTTGCGAGGCGCAGCAGGGTCTTCAACATCCGCTTTGGCCGCTTTGGCCACCTTTGCCTTCGCCTTAGACTTTTCCTTTTTCGTTTTCGGCTTTTTCTCAGGGGTTTTCGCCGACGAGGGCGCTGCAGGCTTCATATTCCTGGGAACGGTGGCCCATAAAAAATCGGCAGGAAGAATACATTTGGCATAGTTGATTGAGAGAAGTTCCAATAAATTGAATCAAAGATTCTTTGCACGTGCCAGAAAGTTGTTGAGAGACACATCATCTTTGGTGCACTTCGTGAATGCGTCCATCACATCAGCCTTCCTTTTCTCCAATCCCCTGAGTCTGACCGGGACATCCGCAATCATAGGACATATTCTATCATGGTACCATTTGATATCATTTGTATAAACCGAAAGGGAAGAATCAAGAGCATCCCAATTTCCAAACCTCCAGTATTTAATATCGGTCAAAACCTATTGGACACACCAGCACTTGGGAACCTGGCTGGGAAGGATCGGCTGCAAGATACTCAGCCTGTAAGTCATTGAGCTGCGAGTAGTACGAGTTGAGATTGCCAAGCAGCGTGTCCATCTGCTTGACCAGCCTGAGTAAAGGGTCGTTTGCTTTCCACCCTCAACCCCAGGGAATTTCATTGGGTTGGCATTTTCAGTGGTGACTTGGAATTTTCTCGAAGCTAACCTAAAATTCCACAGCCCATCCAACAAACTGACACCGTACATCGACCCAGCTGGATCCTGTCAGATGCCAAGGTGCGACCTGGCGCGGTCATTCTCGATCTTACCAAGGCGCTCCTGGAAGGCACAAGACACGGGGAATGTTAAACATGTGCAGCTCTGAAAACACACGTATGCATGAAATTGGAGTAGCAGAGTGGTGCGTCCTTTTGGGTAGATCCATGATCAATTTTCTTCCCCAGGACAGCGATGTAAGTCGGGAGAATGGTGAAGGGGGAGTCGTTCCGTTGCAAGGTCGGAAATACAAGCCTTAAACATGCGCTGCGCATGGAAAGAAACTTCATGCCTTGAACATCAGCAGCGCCCAAAATTTACTTTGGCCAGCCCCAGAATATGGACCCCACCAAAGAGGCCAAAAAGGTCAATTTCCCAGTGTTTTATGTCACGTTTATGCTTCTTCGTGGGGTCAATTTTGTGGGGTCAGATTTAATGAATATTATATTCAGGAGCGATGATTGCACACAAGTGGCTTCGAACCGGCAGAGGCAGTGGACGCCGCAACTGCCGCAGCATGCGCAGCCCTCTCAGCATCTTCAGCCGTAGGTGCCGTATCATCCGGGAACTCGGAATCCCACAGGTCACCAGCTTCGTCCTGCACAGGGCTGTTTTAGCTAACATTTGTTTAAATGTTCTGTGCATACACCTGCAGGTGTCCAAAGTTGTTCATATTATGGGTTTCTTGAACCTGCAGGTGTCCAAAGTTGTTCATACTATGGGTTTCTTGAACCTGCAGGTGCCAAAGTTGTTCATATTATAGGTGTCTTGGCCTCCCAAAAAAATAAAATTTTCCTGGTTGACTGAGGAATATATATATATATGATATATGTGCTTTATACGGTATACGGGGTCTAAATAGATGATTTATATATAGGTCCTTCTGCATCACATCCAGCAAAAATCGGACAAGTGCCCCAACCCAAAGCAAACCAAACCCAAATCCTCAAAGGTTCCATTGGAAGACAAATTGGTGGCTTCACCCTTTTCGTTCTTGTTGTTGAAGGTATCATCCAAAACCAACCGGGCTTCCTCCTCTCCATGAACTGCATTTTTCCTATACAGCCCCTGAGTTTTTGCATGGTTGAAACTGTTGTCGATCATATCTTTGGTGTAGTGCATCACCTCGGCTAAATATTTTTTCGTACACCACCGGCCACCAACGTTGGTGGAATGAACGGTCTGGGACCACCGGGCAATCTTCAGCTCAACCATCTTGAAGTTACCATGTTGACGCAGAAGATCTTGGAGTTTCTGTCCTCAGCAGCACTTGATCAAACTTATAATATATAAAATAATATGCTGATTGTTTTCAGCTGTTGGGGGTTTTGTTGCTGAAATAAGAGAGGATAATAATAAATCTCCCATTATGATTGTAGGCAGTGATATCTTTGGAGACCCAGGGGAAGCATATTATATATAGACTGTTGTATGGGACATTTCGTTCTGCCTGATCATTGATTATACGCATTTGCGGACAAGTAGCGCCCCCCTCCTTTTTTGTCATGCCACAACTCCAAAGCACCTTTTGATGCCTTCGAGACACCACCCTTCCGCGGTTTGCAGTATCGATGGCACCTGACAAGGATCAAATTGATAGGCAAAAATGATGAAGTTTCGAATTGATAGGCAAAAATGATGAAGTTTCGAATAAACCCCATAGAAGCAACATGAATTTCCAATACTTGTACTGTTTCCCAATGGAAGCTAGGGTACGCATGGTAGTACTTGTCAAAATTCTTCTCAGAGCGTGGTGCACTGGATTTTCGTGAAGATGGGGAGTAGCCCGAAGGGGTCTCTGACGTCTCTGGGGCAGCGCTTGGGGCGGGGCTTAACTCCGGAAGGTGCTGAGAAGGCTTCTTCACCCCTTCTGGTGGGCTAGCTTCAAGGCGCCACTGGCTGTCAATTGGTGGAGTCTGCAGGACACTTGTATCGGTTTTCGTACGGGGCAAACTACCATTGCCATCATCATTTTTTTTGGAACCATCAGCACCATGGAGCTCATCAAAGGATTGGCCCTCCATGCTGCCCAAGTTTCTGATCGGAACACCAGCCACATAAGCACCTGATGCCTTTGCTATCGCAGGTGCGCCTGCTGCATGTGTGCTTGGAGCGAAAGGTGCAAGGCCGAAGATGGCTTGGTGGTCTTTTAAACTTGGCAATGGGGCCCACTTGGTTCAAATGCCTGTTGGTTTTGAGGGCCCAGGGCCTATCAACCATCCAATCCCGTTTTTTTGGTTGGGGTAGCCATATCTTCCGGTGGGGCTAGCCACCTTGGTTTCTTCCAAAGGCTTTGGTGTCCAAGACCCATGTGCGAACATCAATATATATAGTGTGCGTGTGTGTATATGTATATGCATGTGCGTGATTATATTATATAGTCTGTGTGTATTCACGCCGTCTATGTATATATTGTAAACCTCTATAATATGGGGATGTCTCAAAATGAGGCGCCCTTTTTCTCCCTTAAAGTATTTAACAAAAAAAGAGCACCTCATTTTGAGACATACCCATATCTCGCCGTGTGTGTGATGTAGATTTAATGTCCCTGTCCACAGGCCTACATACTTGAAACGGCTTCTTAAAATGAACGGGTTTCTCCTGTCGGATTATCAAAGCAGGCACCAAAGTTAAGATAGAGTAAGCTATGAGGGTCTCCTTGAAGGGCTTTGCTCTCACATATATTACCCACAATACTTCCCCCATCTTCCCCCCATTGTTGGTGGTCTCTCATTTACACCAAAAAAACTATGGTTTGCTGATTTCAATTGGGTATATATGGAAAAACCCGTGATGTGCCCCTTTGGCTTTAAACATGTAAAGCATATTTCCCAATCCCAAAACCACAAGGAGTGCCAAAAATGAATCTTTGCTTTTTTGGGAGTGGCCTTATTGGATGTCCTAGTCATTTCATATATAAATACACCAGCAGCCATTGGCAACCCATGGCCTCGCACACTCAGAGGCTTGGCCGTGTCCTCACCGCCCTTCATTTTCGCCTGAAGTGCCGCGATCTTAGCTCTGGAAGCCTCAGATTGCAGGAGTGGCAAGGCAAGCAAGCCCTGAGGGACACGTATTGCTTTATGTAAATCACGGTGACCGTTGTTGTTCAAAAGAATTTTTGCTTAGGAACTTCAATCTTGGCCTTTAAGTCCTCCATGTTGGCTTTTTGACTGCCCTGTTGAACTACGATGGCACAGCCTTTCTCAAAGGTCGCGCAAGAGTGCAGCCTAGCAGGCATTACCCCTAAAGTGGTCAAAGTGTCGATCCTTGATCCAAGAAACTATGAGTCGGTACAGGCTGATTCTGGTGAAAAAAAGTGTCAGGAGTCGGTACAGTCGGAACATGCTGGCACAGGGGTACCGATTGGTACCTGAAATTGAATTTGCGCGCTTTTTGCACTTTTTGTGCGTTTTTGCGCGCTTTTTGCACGTTTTTGCGCTACGAAACGGATCCAGTTTTCCCCCCTAGATCCTGCACATATCGAATTTTTACAGAAACGGCCACAAATTTCATTTGGTATCCTTTGTCCGACTCGAAGCAGCCACGTCTATGTTGTAGGCTTCCCGGACGTCTTCCGGGCTTGTCACCTAAGTGCACAAACTGAGCTGCTAGGCCTTAATCCTTTACAGACAAGCTAGCACATGGAAAAAATATCTAAAACTAAAGCAGCTTCGTTACTGCTGCTGTGAGCTCGGAGTCAAACTGCCGCATTGCACTTTCCCAACTTGAGGGAATGGTCACATACTTAGAGGAATAGATGTATTTCCACACCAAGTGCATCTTGGCGTCCACCCAAACATCTCCAAGCGGCATTTTTTCAAACAGTTCTCTGTCCGTCAGTTTTCTGTCTATTTTCATTTTGAAGCGCATGTGGCGAGGGAACCCTGTCCTGTTTTCAAAAGCTTCTTTGAGACGGCGAGCAAATCCTTCTGGATAGCACCTAGGAAGTGTGTGTACGGAAGAAAGGGTCTTTAGGGATAGGAAATGCCAATGGCTAAGGGAAGGGTGCTGATTGTTTCAATTGGGCTGACCCACAAAATTTCTGCTTCCCCTCCTTGTTGACATATCGACCTGATAGATGCATCATGCACTAGCATCAGAAAAATCATGCGCATCCCTTGCTGAGGCAAAGATGGAACTCTCTTCTGGGAATCAGGCGCGTTGTTTTGAGCACAGTGTTTGCAAGACGGTACTCTTTCGTGAGGGTGCCCATGTCCAGCCAACTAACCCAAGAAGCGTTAGAATAAACCACTGTGGGTTTAGGGCTTCCATGCCCAAGAAGCTGCATCCAGAAGCGCACTCGATAAGCCTGGGCCGGGGAAAGGTTGATGGAAAGGGTTGCCTTCAAAAGAAAGCAGGCCCTCATTGCATCTAGACCCGTTCCATTGGGGAATTATATATATAAAGATGGATGTGTATAAAGTATAAACTATCACAGGAAAGGTGCATAGGATGTGTGGTTCATGAAGGTTTCAAACCGTGGGGATCGCTCCATCAAAGATTGAGCCGGCTGTTCTAAAACATAGAACGCATGCTTGGCCACAATGAGATAGAGGGCCATCACTATCCTTAGCACCAACCATAAGACAGGATCCAAGGGATAGCACCCACGATAGCACCCACATGGAAACAACGGTACTACAGGATTCGATATTTATTTATATTTTGCAAGCGTCTTTCCTATGCACTCGTTGGCCTCAGCCACGAAAGGGACTGCCATGGCTCCGAATATGTTCACATATGTTCGCAAGCTGGTGCCCCTTGCAGGGAGACCCCATGAGCCGCATTCAGGCCCTAGCAGGTTAACTGCCTCTTCCACTTCATTCAGCACGATGTAGATCACAAGCCTGGGCAATAATATGATGGCTGAGACATGGATTCATTTTACCAAAAATGAACGGGAACCTATATTGATATTGTATTAATAGTATGTAAGACAGAAAATGTGAAACTTCTAAAACCAGAAAGCAGGTAGCAGAAAACCTGGGGGTGTCAAAAAGTTCATCACCCGTTCACCAGGATGATGGCTTTCGTCGACAGTGGCCGTGCAATATCCAGCACTGCTCCTAGGTGGGACATGGTGGGACAATGGTCTTGGATATGGGATTCATGGGTGTCTCAAATTGAGAAACCATAAAAATAGGTTACATTTTTTTCTTTCAACATCAAGGCACCAAATTTTGGTAGCATTTGCCACTCCGGCAAATAAGTCCAGAAACTGAAACCGGGGACGAATCGGAGGCACATTGGTAGACCACATGACCATTAAGCAAACAGCTACCAGCACCTGGCAGGGGTTGAGCGCAGTTTGAGCAGCACGTGTGGAATCCCAGAACTTGCAATTAAAAAACTTGATTTTCGAGATCCTAGGTTTTGGTGTCTAAGCATCAGCCAATGTCAAAAAAGATCATTTTCCCTGGAATTGGAGCAACCAATGCCAATTTCCCAGTGACGTTTGATTTTTTGGCCTTCACCAATTATTGTCCATATAGCGGTGCTTTTTGCAAATCCAACGTTTTGAGGTTTTGGAGTTGCTCTCCCTATCCTACCATCTGTTTCTGGAATGATTTTGGGGATGGCAGTTTGTCAAATAAAAATCAAAGGCCCTTGCCTTGGGAGCACCTAGCTCCATGAGATTGAGTGGAATTGACTCATTGCAGGGTTCCATCTTTGCTACGGCTGGCGGTCAGAATCGAGCCCCAAAAACTGCGTCACTCCCACCTGGCCCCAATCATCCACTTCAGTCCATGTGCATGATGTGGACCCTGTTCAAGTAAATTTCAAGAAATCCTTATGATTGGTTGTATTCCCTTGCAGGTGGCTTTGCCACAAAATCACCACCCAGGTGCTATGCAGCAGAGGGGATCGCACCTCCGAAGCGAAGAGCCCAGCCCTCAGAGCCAGGCATGACAAAACCTGCGCGTTGGGCAAAAGCAACCAAGAAAGAATAACACTAAAATCTTTTGGATCATTTGAACTGTGGCCTAAACTTATTTCCTTTCGCTGCGTTTGACAATAGTCCCTCCAATGGTTTTTCACTGGAGGCCCCAAACCCATGGATTTGATTTGCACATCACATGGTCAAGCTAATCAACATGTCCTGGCAAAGGGATGGTGCTTCTGAGCGATCCTCCCAAAGTTAAATAGCTACACGTGCCCCGGCAAACCACAGCCCCAAATCATATATGATCGGCAAAAAGCTGATTCTGGTGATCAGCCATAAACAAATAAATATCGTCAGAAAGCACGGCGCTCAGACTCAGCTGGTGTTTGCGTATGCCTGGGCGGCCAAATCTAGGGAGTGCAGCTAATGTTTAAACAGGGTCCTGTGGAAACAATATAGGGTTGTCAGTCTCAATCCTGAAGCATGGGATGCCTCATGGTGCCTCCTAATTTCCTCTATTTAAGTATTATTTTTGACCCTTGAAGACATTGTATATTCTTCCAATACGTATAGACATGGGATGCAGGCCTCTTTGGCAAGTCTTTCGCACTCTTCCTCGCTACGTCCTTCCTTCTTCGCTTTTCTTTTCGCGCAATGGTAAGCACTGCTCTTTCTGCTGTATTTGGCTGCAAGTTCTGGGTCCTTCCTCTTCTTCTGCGGGGACTTCTTGCCCCTACAAGACTTGGCCTTTGTCTTGCCTTGCTTCTTGTCAGGGGTCTCGGCAACCTCGGTGGATTTGGTACCCTTTGCTGTCTTGCCTCGCTTCTTGTCAGGGGTCTCGGAAACCTCAGTGGATTTGGTACCCTTTGCTCTCTTGCCTCGCTTCTTGTCAGGGGTCTCGGCAACCTCAGTGGATTTGGTACCCTTTGCTGTCTTGCCTCGCTTCTTGTCAGGGGCCTCGGCAATCTCAGTGGATGTGGCTCTTGTGCGCTTCTTCTTGCCAACCTTGCTGTGTCCCTCCTCTGCATCTTCCTTGGAATTTTCGACTGGCTCTGGAATCTCCTGTGTCTTGCGTCTCTTGCAGTTGTACTCCCCCTCTACCTTCTTGACACTTTTGACCTTCTTGGAACTACCCTTTTCCTTTCCAGCCTTCTTGCAGCGTTTGCCTGTCTTTGCTGTCTCGCTTGGCTCCTGCTCAACCTTCTTGGATCTCTGGCGCTTCAAGCGCTTCGTTGCAACCTTCTTGGATCTCCTCTCCTCTTTCTCCTCTGGCATCTTGTCTTCTGGTCCCTCAACTGTCCCGGCCGCAACATCGCCTGACTCTGCTGTGTTGTTTGCTTCTTTTGCCATCTCAATCTTAGACGTCTTGGCATCTTCTTCTGGGGTCTCACCTCGTCTCTTGTCCACCTCATTCTCCTCTCCTGCTTTTTCCTCCGCCGTTTTCCCACGGCCTCCACGGCCCTTTCCTCTACCACGACCCTTTCCTCTACCACGACCCTTTCCTCTACCACGACCCTTTCGTGGCTTCTCATCTAGCTCTGATCCTGATCCTGATCCTTCTTCATCCTCATCATGCTCATCCTTTGTCGAGTAGCCAGTTCGCTTGACCTGCTCTGCTGGGGAAAGGTATTGAACCTTCTCAAGAATCTTTGGTCGGTCCTCTGCTTCCTGTGCCTTCAGCTCCTTTTCCCATTCACTCCAAGGCTTCACTTTCTTTGGGTCAAAAGGCTGGTGAACACAAACAGGTCGAAGGTGTGCAATCTTGAAATTCTTTGCCAACGGGTCTTCCTTTGGTACCTCAGCTGCAGGGAGCTCCTCGTCTTCATTTTCGCTGTCTGCTTCTTTTGCCCTTGCTTCCTTCATGGCCTTCTCTGCCTGTACCAGCTCCTCAAGCTTTTGTTCGAACAAGGTTGGACCTGCTGCGCTCTCCTTCTCTGGTTCTTTTGCAGTCTCCTCCGCCCTCTCCTTCTCTGGTGCTTTTGCAGTCTCGTCCGTCTTGACATCACTCACCTGCTCCTTCTTAATCTGCTCCCTCTCAACTTTCACCTTTGGACCCTTGACCTCCATTCTCGAACTTTGCAAGTCTGCAGCCTTCATGGCATCTCGTTCCTCAGATTCCTTTGCTGCCTGCCTCTCTTCCCACCCAAGCTTCTGGAAAAAAAGCTTGCGTCTCACCTGTACTGCTTCATCTTCTGCATCCTTTTTGTTTTCTTCGGTCTTCTCCTCCGGGCTTTTGGGCACCAAAAGGGCTGTAGGACTTTGGAAATCTTACGTCGGGCATGTGAGGGTCCCCAATATGAATTCAAATGAATTGGCCTACGGGCACCTTTTTGAAGTCCTGTGACAGACTGATGGCCCAGGCTTCGATCGGCTAACAACCACCCAGCCTTGGCTGCAAACGGCTTTCCACGGCAAATGTCCAAGTCCGACTCCTCAGACTCAGAGTCAGAAATCTCCTGCAAAATGCGGGGCGAAATGTTGCAGGCAGTAATTATAATATAGGGAACCGAGTTAAAGTTCAACAATGGTGATCCTCAGAGAGGCCAACAGCATCCACAGGGATCTCGTGAGGCACACCAAACTCATCGATCATATAGGGCAAAGTGTCAACTTGATCCAAGGTGGTGCCTCGGTGTAGGACTGGCATATGTAATACAGCTATATAATATACGTGTGTGTGTTATAAATATTATTGAAATATATATACATATTATATGAAATAGGATTTCAGACAAAGTGCCAGCTGGAAATGGCGCACTGTGACTTGCAGCAGGAACAGAGCTATTAAGAAGGGACCTCATGTCCTCCAGTTTTGACGATTTTTCCAATTCTGACTGCTCCTCTTCCAACAGTTTCAATGCGGCCATTTCATTTAGGAGTGCTTCCTGCGCTTGCAAGTTGGCAAGCTCTTCCTCTAATTGTTTCTGTTCTGGAGACGTATCCCCCATAGACCCCTCATGCCCAACTTCAGCAGTTGAGCATTTGGCAACTTTGGCTGGGTCAACTTCCGTAGGGACAGGCTTGTAGCTGGTAGGAGCCACTGTGCCTGGGTGTTTGGCACAGGGCTGGGAAACCAAACCCATCAGGTCAGCAGCGACTTTCTGGCAATCTTGACACCCAAACCCGGAAGGAACTGGAACAATCCGATGTTGGTAGACTTTCTCGGTGCTCTCCAGCTCATCGATATCTTTTCCTCAGGTTTTCTGTATACATATGCAAACTATGCAAATTGCACTCTATGAATTTAACAGTTTTGCTTGGTGAGTCAGAAAAATCCAAACAGGATACACACTGGCCCTGTGAATCATATGAGATCTGGACCGTTTATGTTAAAATCAAACGGGATTTCTATATATATGGGCTTAGTGGATTACAATTTGACAAAGTGTCTGACAGTAGGCAGCGGCGAAGAAAAACCTGGGTCACTTGCCTTGCCCAAGGTCGAGGCAGCGTCACCTGGCAGCCCAGCGCAGTCGAGCAAACGGAGAAATTGGCCACCAATTTAAGTGCAACACGGCAGCATTGATTAAGGATTTATGGGCTGGCCTGGCTCATCCACATGCTCGGGTTCCACCTCCATATCACTTGCCTAGGAGTGAAATATGAATGGCTACAATGATTCCACCAAACATGGCCGGAGACCGTTATGATAATAATAAACTAGAACATGGGGTTGCCGTAAAGTTCAGCTTGGATGCTTCACTGTCCGGCTCACTTTCACCATCTTCCCCTTCATTCTCCGCATCAGACTCATCATCAGGGTCGTCAGGGTATTCCACCTCACCTGGGGGAGAAAATGGTATGTTGTCAGGGGCGATTAGCCAACATTCACCAAAAAAGTAAACGTAAGGACAACAGAATTTTGCGTATGTTTATCCAGTGGCGGAAATTTTTGGGAAGGAGGATTCCAGCAGCTTGGTAAATTTCCCTCATCGCTTTCTCACGCGGGTAGTGCCCCCGGCGAGATGCTCTGTTGAACTCGGTTACCAATCGCTTGACAATCCATGCCTGGAATTTCGCATAGTCACCTGGGCAGCCGGGGGATGAATGTATATTGTTGGAATGTAGGGAGTTTGCAAGGCGGAGACTCATATAATAGGTGTTGTAACGATTTTATATATTATACACGAATTTAATTAAATAGTTGGGTCTACAAATGGTGGGTATGCTGGGGGGTGTATACAACAACTTGTACCTGGCAACCCCGTGTTGTGGTATGCAGCTGAAACCCGTGCCCCAAAAGCCACTGTGCCCACAATCCTCAAAAATTAAACCAAAACACTTGATAGTGGTGCCTTCCCTTTCGGTCTGGCGTATGCTAAGAACTGTTCCGTGTGTTCCTTGATGGTGTGCACCGTGACTCTAGTACCCAAAAATTTCAACACCGGCGCGATCACATCACCATTTGCCACAACATCAGCCCGATCTATGCACTTGTGATCACCCACAAGTGCAACTTTGCCAGCTGCTGCTCGGTTCATCAAGGTGGGCGATTGCGCCCACATCTCCACCACAGGAGATCCCATCGGTGGCACGTTTCGATGGAACCCCAAAAACACTAACCCAAAGCCTTGCAAAGCCAGATAGCTTCGCAGTCGAAAAACGATGGCTTATCAACTTGTAGGCTCGCAAAATGCATAGCTCGGGCACAATATTAAGTGCAATTTGAGATCCTTCAAAATCAATCGGGATTTTCCCCATGCGATATATATAGGCAGTTTTTTTTTAGCAATCCCCATTTTGAGACAAGCCCAAATGGTTAAGGATTGGGGCAACGACGGTGGCACCTCCAGTATTTCAGGGCATGGTTTTTTGCGCCACCACCTGTCATGGGAAGAGCATGTGTGAAATTGTGAGGCCTAGATATATATATATATAGTATATCCTGGACCATCCATAGTAACTTTGATTTCTGCCCCCTCCCCTTGAGCTATCAAGATGTCTCATGGCCAAATGGTAACCCACCCGCTGGCCATCAAATTGGCATTAAGTATTTTTGGGGGGTTCACTTTTTTGAAGGTCCATACCATGTTTTTGAACCATGCCCATAGATAGCCCACCTGCGTCACTTCTCATCAAAGAGGCGCCATCACATGTACCTGACATCCAATCAATGGGAGATTCAAGATCCTAAAGTGCAGGTACTGTACCATATAAAACCATATATTTCGGGCGTATATCCCCTTAGATATCCCTTACATAGGCTATATATATATATATAGGTACCTCCAATTTGGGCTCCTGAAATGGCCATTGATCCAAGGTAATTCTACTACCTGGACTACCACTTGAAGATGCACTCAGCACACACAGAGGGGGGGCGCACTTGACCAATCCAACCCTATAGTTGGCAGGCGTGTGGGCTTAAGCCAAAATAGCATTCCACCCTTCATGGAAATTCAAAAAAACGCTCGAATCCACAAAAAAAGGACGAGGCAAAAATTTAAGGTACGAAGTGAGATTTAAGGCACGAAGTGTGATTTCAGCTACGAACAAGGGGGGGGCAGAAATTAAAGGTACGATGGATGGTCCAGGTATATATATATATATATACGCGATATGTATATATATAATATATTCAAATATTGCATATGACTGCAGCCTTTTGCCATCGCTCTTGCGCTGTCTGTCGCAGGAAAGCGACAAGGCCAACAGGGTACCAGTCAGCAGTCAGAAGCTCAGTAGCATCTCTGGGATCCAGTGGTTGAAATTTTCATGGGGGTATAACATGGTATACCTATGTATACCTCATTTTCAGACATCCACTAACATAAATTATATTAATATATTAATGTATATATATATTTACATGTGCATTATGAAATATTACTTGGTTATAGTTATTCAAATATCCTGTAGAGTTCCCATGATATCCCCAAGGTTTCTCAGCTCAGGTACTTGCACTCCATCTGTTGCTTCAGCTCCTCGGGCCCGGGGACAGCCTTTGACCCAAGAGGCGCGTTGAAGTGACGGCGGATGTCCATTCATATTATGCATGATGTGATTGATTATGTGTGTATGTTATGTGTGTATGTCTTATAAATATATAACATGTAATTATTTAAATGTATATGCATTATAACATATTTATATATAATAATTATATATGTAGGTTAGGTGAAGTACGAAATTATTCTGCCAGGCCAGGAATCATTGGAACTTTTCTGGAAGTAACTGCGCCTCTGATGTCAGACCCCTCTCTGGCAGGTCATAACCTTCTCCACCAACGTTTGGCTCCAAGACAGAGTGGGTTGAAGTGTTTCATTTTTCCAAACGGGAAGCATTCCTGATGTTTTTTCAAGTTCATGGATACCCATAGGATCCATGGTGCTGGTATATATGCTAACATTTGGGGTATATTGATGGTAAATGTTACCACATATGCATACATGGATCCTATGGGATATTCAGTGCCTTAAAAACCCGCCCAGGCGAACCGAGGCAACCTGAGCCAAGAGGCCTTCAACCAGAAATTGACACATTTGCAGATTCAGAGTCCGGTCCGCAGAAAATTTACAGATTGTGTCCATGTTCAACTACCGCGAGAGAGATGTATATATATAATATACATTTGTTTTGATTGATTTCTGATCAATGTGCTAGTACTTGTAATAGAATTTAATAGTTGATAACGTCAACGGATTTTCGATAATCGGAATCAGTTGCTCCAAAAAGTGAGTCAGATCTAAGGCTCTAAGGTGCACATTGGTCAGCATTTTCCGCGCAGTGATGAACCCATAACATTTACATAAGAGTTTGCAACCCTCCGTGTAATACTACAGTTCAAACCCAAAAGTGGGTAGTTAAGCACCTTTGAACACCTTCGAACACCATATATAAGTGATTATAAGTGTATATATATATATATTAATATTGTGGTCAGGTTCCATGTGTATATCATTGTACGTGTGATTGTTCTTGCCCACGTGTTGGCTAAGACAAGCGAATTGGACCAGACCTAGAAGGTTTGCGATTGGTGCCTGCCGTCTACGTCCTGTGCTCCCGCATCTTTTGAGATCTTTTGAGCAGAGCACACACAACGGCATACACAGCTGTGTTCTGGACGACCTGAAAATCACTTAAGATAACAATGTTTAGATTCTTTTGATAGGGACATATGGGACATGTTGTGAAACTCCTGGATTTCGGGGTCCCACTTGTTCCGAGGGCCAGAGGACTTCGGACTTGCCCTATGAATACATAGGTATGCATATGACAATCTGATCGTCAGCCTTTCTGGCATTCAGAATTTGAGGCCCTGGCTGTTTTTTGCTGCCTGCGGTTCTGACATGTTCAACGATAGTTTCTCCCAGGGAGAACAGGGACGGTTTCTTGATGTTTCTTGCGTTTGACAGGCAAGCGGCTGTCTTCCAATAGTCGGACATCCGATTTGGATATATTTGAAATTACATGAAATTACCATCTGGTTATGACTAACATAGCCATGGAAAATCCCCCAAATAAATGGAGGTTTCTAGCTGGGAAAATCATCTGAAAAAAAAGGGCCATTTTCCATAGCTATGTTAAATAGCCAGAGGGTATTTAATGTTCGTTTGAACCTTTCTAAGTTGAGAAGAGGCGTTTGCAGCAGCTGTACTTGCAGAACAACAGAATCACGTCTATGGCAGGGCTAGAGGTCATGGGAGACCCGTGTGGTTGTGTGGGATGTTGCATGGGAGCCATGTTTGGAATTGTTCGGATTTTACATGGATCAGAAGGGCACTTTTTCGAGTGAAAATTGCACTGAACTAAATCTGGGCAAAGGACGAAAACACTCTTGTTTCTACAGGTCATAAGGATTTGTTCGGTGATTCAAGGACGTTTCGGTGATTCAATGTTGTTGCACATTCTCCGGCCAATCGCCATTAGCTTCAAAGACTTATAGAGGGGGCCAGAGTGGCCAGAGGCTTCTTTCCAAGGACGGGGTGCTCTCGGTCGGCTCTCGGTTTGGCAGAGAATTTTGCCATGTCATGCTTCATCGCAGTGTGTTGAGGAGCAATGTTCACCACCGAAACCAATAGCGGCGGTGTGGCCGCGGCTGGGTCGGAAGCCCGTCTTTCTGCAATGAACTTCGCTGCAACCACTCCCATATGCTCCATGTATGATGTATGGAATATTTACCAACATTTGCCCTAGAAATCACCCAAATGTAGGAAAATATACCATACATGGAGCATATGGGACTGATCCCACTGATCGCAATGTCAAGCTGCATTGCTGACAGATTGAAGCTTGCGCCCTACAGGATGGATGGGCAGGGCCTCATTGGAGGGCAGGCCGACACACTCAACGGCTTGTGCAGAAGATTCAAGAGAAAGAAGACAGAAGAAGTTGGAACATCTAGCAACACCATGCAACACCATGCAACACGCGCAGGGAGTTGCTGGCATCGAGAAAACCATGAAATGGAAGCTGTTCTTCTTTATAGGCTGGCCTGAGAACAGCTTGGTCAGCAGATGTCAACCGCCTGTGCCACATGACACGAATGCAGGATCTCTGATTGTCCTGGTGACTGGAGTGTCCTGCACCTTGTTCTGGACTGTGGTGCAACTCCAATGTTCATCAATGTCTTGCCTTCCCACTCTCAGCCGATTTAATTCAAACTTGCCGTTTGGGCGCAGGATTCTTCATTTGCAATGGGTAGTGCCCTTACCAAGCACAGCTGTTCACTTGACACTTTTTAGGAGCCCTTTGAGAATTCCAGTAGTCACCGATATTCGAAGATATTCCAAGGCTCCGGCTCAGTTTATGACCACGTTGTTCCTTTTGCTCTTCGGGGTTTTGATGGTGGTGCCTGTGCCCAGACGGATGCTATCAACATGGACAAATTCTGCACAAGCTTGCAACGATGTTTCATTGCTTGTGTTCATCAATCTCTCGCTTTTTATTTTGTGGACTGCTTGCACTGCCTGCGGTATACCTAGTCAATCCTAATCATCTTGCTATATGTTGGTATACTGTCCCTCATTGACTCATGCATCTGCCATGTCATCTTGGGCTCAAGATCATAAGAGTCCTCGACGCCATGGCCGCAAAACCAAAAGTGAGCTTTAAGATCACTCTGGCATCGGAGAAGACTCAGCCGTATAAGGCGGAGAATCGGTTCCACGAACATTATTTTCAGGAATGTCATCAACTTGATGCAGTTTGATTCATGACAGTGATCAATATAGTCAATTTGTCCCCGTTATAGACCTCTCCTTGTAACATATGAGTCACTCATAGCCCCCTGTCGGTTGATGAAAATCTCGGGGTTCTACTTGGGTTCTATCCAATCTCCTGGGGTTTGTCAGTCCACAGGTTGAGCCACGTTGCTCCCGTTGCTTGTTTTCGTTGGGGGAATCTAGGTGATTACCGTCCCAGAAGAAGCCCCCTTCCTTGCGGTGGTGAAATTCTCTGCGGAGGAGTTCAAGGTTCGTCGACGAAATTTCAGGAGGTTGTGTCAAATGATCTTTTACAGTATATTAATTTATATTATATATATATATGTCATTATTATAATATATATAAATATACATTATTTCAAACTTTAGCCTCTTAACCTGTGGGCCTTGCGGACCGTGGAGGGAACTATGGAAGGGACTATGGAAGAAACCAGGGCAATAAGGATATCTTATAGAAGGTGATGTTAGAAACCATGTCAAAGGAATATTAGCAAACTTTCGAAGAGGTAAAGAAACAAAACAATGCACACAGCGAGGACACATCCAGATTCATCAATCTGGGTTTGCACTCAAAGTCGTGAAGTACTTGACCAAAATGGAATTTGTATTGTGGGCCGGTGATGAATTCAGATAACAAAAACTTGCCATGGATACTTTATTTCTATCTGATCCACAGTCTATAGATATAAAATTTTGATTGTGAGATTGGGGTGAACTTATGTTTCGTTCTTTTTTTGAAGACTAAATCTACTTTGGCATTCAATTAGATGCAAATAAAATTCTACTTAGGCGTCACAAACTGACGCCTAAGTAGAATTCTATTTGCGCCAGACAGATTATGCATTCCAAATTCTAGTCTGGGGCGGTTTGAAGACATAATTCATAATGTACTTGGGCGCAAAAAGAATTCTGCTTAGGCGTCACGAACTGACGCCTAAGTAGAATTCTACTTGCCCCTAAGTAGACCAAGTCTTCCAAATTCTAGTCTGGGGCTGTTGGAAGACATAATTCATAGTCATAATCTACTTAGGCGCAAATAGAATTCTAGTCTGGGACAGTTGGAAGACATAATTTATAGTCATAATCTACTTAGGTGCAAATAGAATTCTAGTCTGGGCTGTTGGAAAACATAATTCATAATCAACCTAGGCGCAAATAGAATTTTGCTTAGGCCTCACAAACTGACGCCTAAGTAGAATTCTATTTGCGCAAAAGTAGATTACGCATTCCAAATTCTAGTCTGGGGCTGGCATTGGTCTGAAAATATGGTTTGCTCTTTCTTCAAGATGGGAGATATACTCAGGCGACAGAAACAAACGCCGAAGTGGAATTCTATTTGCAGCTAATTAATTTTCCAGTGTGAGACTGGGCTAAATTGAGTTTTGATTACTTAACAACATTGCCCCAAATACTTGAAACCTTGAATAAATACACAACCCGCATACAAATAGTGGGTTTAATTTGTGATGCTGCATTTGTTTGAGGGAAGATTCGGGCGATTTAAGCGAAATTGGAGAAATACTTAGGTGGAAGGAACAGGCGCTGAAGTCGAATTCTATCAATATGTAATTTCAATTATTTGGAAGGCAGTCCATGTGTGTTTGGGCGCGCTAAGCTGGCTTCTGCAATGTGTTCAGGCTGTTGGGATTATGTGACTTCCCTTTTCAAAAAAAGAACCAAGGCAATGTTGATTGTTGGCTGCATTCCCATTGCTGTCTTGTTCCCAACCAGTTCTGGACTGGATCAAAAATATGCAGTAGCGGTAGCAGTGCTACATCCAGGGCTATACTGCTGTTATATATTTTGTCACTCTGGCAAGACTGTTACTACCGTGCTACTACCCATACAAGAAACAAACTATATTGTATAATATAGCTGCCAATAATTTCTTGGACCATGATTTGATACTTTTCAGAATAATTATATAGCGCTAGCGGTGAGGTTCTTGAGGGTGATGATGGGTTACTTTCAGGTTGGGACTAATGCATCCGGAATGGCTCAACCTTGTCCGTGCCTTCCTACTCCCGGGATTCTTGGCACAGAGAACCAATCTACGTGACAATTTTCTTAGCGCAGAGGTCTCCAGAACGGTTCGGAACGGTTCTGCAGACCTCCAGAACGGTTCGGAACGGTTCGGAACGGTTCTGCAGACCTCAAGTTTGCACGGAGATATTTCTCCACAGCTTCCAGCCCCCCCAAAAAACGGTCAAAACCTTCCAAAGAGCCGCCCTGTGGCTCCAAGGGCCGAGGCTACAAGAGAAAGGGGTCAGAAAAACGACAAAGGGAAGGGAACTTCTCCGCCTAAGTCTTTGAACAGGCAGTGCAAAGGCATGCTGAGCACAAGGGAGAAGGTGAAACTGGATGTAGACTACAAAATGCTGGAAGTTTCTCAGCTGTTTGTTCATGGAAGGCTTGGCTTTCAAAATCTTACCTGTCTTGAAAACTGTTCTGTGGAATCTTTTCTAACATAGTCAAAATATGTTATTATGTAGTCAAAATATGCTATTATATGGAAGTCTCCGGAACCGTTCCGAACCGTTCTGGGGTCTATAGGCTTGGAATCCGGAACCGTTCCGGAACCGTTCCAAATAGTTCTAAATAGTTCCGAGGTTTTGGAAGTATCCGGAACCGTTCCGAACCGTTCTGGGGAAATCTCCGGAACCGTTCCGAACCGTTCTGCAAACCCCAAATAATGGCTTATGTGTTAACTTGCTTTTATACTTGTATACCGTATAACTTGATAAAACCGAATATACACACTTGTAGCTTATAGCTACTTTGTAAAATACAACTCATAATTTATAACTCTTGACTATCAAACTTCAATAAATCAATTTATGAGGTTTAGGATCTGTTTTTAAATTGAAACACATTGTTATAACTGTTAACTTACAACTTAGAGCTTCTAGTTATGACTTGACGCTACAAACTGTGTAACTTATGACTTCGTAACCTTTTAACTTTGAATTTACAACTTATAACTAAAACTGAGAACCTTTAACTTGTAACATAACTTTGACCTTACTTCTCGATTTGACTCCAACTGTTTAACTTTATAAGTATATTTTTGATTATGATTTTATATAAGACTGTTTGAGTTTTTAGATGAATTATATGTTCTTGTTTGTTCGTGTATGTTTGAAAGTTTGGAAGTATATCTACCACACTTGTTGACAGGGTTTGTTTGCATAAAACGCAACAATAAAGTTTAAACGTTGTATTTGGATAACATAACATATTTATAATGATTGTAATCTATTACTGCAACACTGCTACGGACCAATGCACAACAACGTAGCGACAGAAATACAGTAACACATCTTTGATCTTCTACAAATACGCAAGGGAACACAAATTAAATCCAGTAACATTCCGTTTGCAGTTGATAAATTTGTTTCACCATGTTTTACCTAAGTTTTACCGTGGTCTTCGCAGCACCGAAAACAATGCTTAAAAGCTGTGGATTTGCATT